CACACCAAATGTGAGATCTGACATTGTAGTAATGGGGTTGCTGACATGACTTTCATTTCATACTGTGAAGTTTTGTCAAATATTAACAAGTCATCTACACTTGCATCACTTGATCTGCTGTATTGATATAGAAAATAACTGAGAGAGACGGAGTTAGAGGACACAGAAAGGTGAACCCTTAACTGCTGAGCTATGCATGCTGGCCAGGTTTGTAGTGTAGTGTAAGGCTAAAATCAAAAGCTAAGGATTTAAATATTACATTTTTTGAGTTAAGTTTTGTTCTGTGTATGAAATGTCAAACAGTGGAATACAATCCAAAACAAAAATATACAGTTTACAATTACATATATCAAAGACAAACAGCAAATCTTTGCATTTGAAAACCTGAAACCCGACAATAGTTGGTGTTTTTCACCAATAACGATTGTTACGATTTTTCAAATAGCCATTTCAGTAATTCAGTATTATGGTTTACTGACTTTCGTGGGATCCGTATTGTCATCATGCAGTGTTACCATTTTGCCAAATTCTACTGTTATCTGCTGTTCTCTGCCAGGAGGATCATGCAATTAGTCACTTGTGTGTGTGAGTCTGTGAGTAAGTGTGCACCTCTGTGTCTGTCCACAGCTGATCTCCCATTCTGCTGCAGCAGACTGCATAATATTTTGGGTGGCCAGTTATGGCTGCATGCTCAAGGTCCACTGACTTGTTTTACACTGCCATTTGTAAGATTGTATGAAGTGTGTTTTTACGAACCCCTTACAGCCCATTGGTGTCCAGACGGAGGGTTAGCCAATTATGCGTTGTATTCATTCAATCACACAATACAGCAGTAGTCATTGCAGAAACTCCTGGTGGATATCTGCACTCAAATAAATGCTTTTTAGTCCCATATGTAATTCTCCATTAATTTCCTTTATTGCGATACAAATGTTCTTTGTTATCATGATTTAGACCATAATACCGCTCCGTGTGTGGGGCCCATATATGAGCATGTGACTGTGGGAGGGGGAGCAGCTGACCTGGCCCTGCCTCCCCTCGCCTTGAGCTTAGATGCAGGCGTGAAAAGATAACATCCTCCCCTGCTGTGGCCCACTGAGGAATCTGTAGGTCGGGCCTACTCCTCGGTAGGTTGACTGTGGCTGCATCGCGTTGGAATGCCCCTCAAGCAGTTGCATCAACAAGTGTTGAGACAGAAGCCGGGCCTAATCTCAAACTCTGTGATTACTAACAGTTACTATCTCGGCTGAAGTCATGCGGTTGAACCAGAGCCAGCAATAAAAAAACTTCAGTGACTAATGTTTGACTGTCAGTTTGTGACGGTGACTAACTTGATATACTGCACTGTTGATTCAGAAAGAGTTCAGCGATCTGCTCTTCAGTCTGTCATAGTTAATGTGGGTCAAGATTTGCCCATGTCCTGCTACAATCTGATGAGCTCAGTCTGGCAGCTTATCTGTGATGTTTACGCGGAAAATCACTTCTAAATCGTTGCAGCTGATTCCTTAGTTGGTGCACTCATACTGTATGTACTCTGCCGAGGCTTGAGTGGTTTCTTTGAATCCTGCGACAAGCAATGCCCCATTGTTGTCCCATTCTCTCTTAGCTTGTTCCTCTGGATGAAACTTGAGCCAGCTCTTATTTCAGCTGTCCCACACAAGGCGCGGACAGTCCCTGACCGGACTGTAATACTTGAGGAATGTGTCTCTTTTGTTTGCCTTTGTCAACTCTGTGTCACTGTGCAGGTGGATAGTGTGGGGTCATATAGCTTTATTGTGTGTGTGTGAGGTTGTTTAACTCCCCCAGGCAGCACAGCTGAGTGTAGGAGGGGCCATGTCTTCCGCCTGGGTGTGAGTCCACTGCTTTCAGACTGACAGAGCAGTCTGAGAAGGGAGGGTGAGAGCACAAGTCTGTGAGGAGAAATACAAACTTCACAAACTTTTTTTCCGGCACTAGGATTGTTCTCCGTCTGATATGCTGGCTGTCCGCCGCTCTTTGGGATCTAGCTCAGAGATATCTGGCTGTTGACAATGCAAGGAAGGGTTAGTAAATCTCCGAAGAAGGAGTTGGTCATTGAGAGTCCGCAGCAGTACAAGAGCTTGGCTGCAGCTGAGGCTGAGGTAGACACGGTGCCACAGGTGGTGGTAAGTCATTCAAGGACTTTCATGTAAAGACATATGAGACTTTTTGGTGTATGTTAAAAAGCTGTTCTGATCTATAATAACATGTTTTACAGTGTGCAGTGCTACTAAGGTTAACCATAGTCATGAAGTCCCGAAGAGGTGTCATGCGAGCATCTGCTCTGCTTTCATTGTACACAATGTTGGCAACTCACTTCGAAAATGTGCAACGTCAGCACCGGCATAGCAAACTGGTGAACTTTAACCACCCGGAGTGAAGCGGCGCACGGTTTCCTTGACTCTTAAAGATGACCGTGGCTTGTAAAAACCTTTATTTGGCTGAAAAGTCAACCCTGACAACAGTGATAATGTCCTGCCCTGCGATGAAGGTGTCCCAGTGGTTGGATCTGTACAGAGACGTGTGAAGAAGACAATAAAAGAATGTATCGGTTAGTAGAGAGGCACTACACAGCACCATTGTTCATTGCTGTGAGAGGGTGCAGTGATGGGAGGAGTGGGTGCTGCAGCTAAACAGCTGCTAGATCACTGTAGAGAGGGAGTGGAAGAGATGGCTTCATAACTCTCTGTTTTATGGGCTTTCCAGGGATGAACGTCTGACTATTTGGTGACTTAATTACACAAACTTGCATGCATTTTTCTGGTCTGATTTTATTTTTTTATGTATTTAAAATAGTTTATGGTGTATTTTAGAAACACTAGAAATATAGGATATAGACCAAGACATAAACACAACAAGTGTTTTTAAAAAGCTGTTTCCAAGGACTGACACGACAATAATACAATAAAAGTTTGGACTTCATCCATTGGATATGGTCAGCACTGTGGGTTGAGGGAATGACAGAGCTCCTGCTTATTTATGTTCCTTTTCTTACTCAGTGCTGAGTGTACTTTGTGGTTTACCTACACTGGCCACTGACAAAGCAATGTGGAAGCAGCCCAGAGGGGTTTGGAGTGCAGTCAGCAACAACAGAGTGGGGTCAGGAACCCATCACTAGTGAGAAGAGGGTCAAATCGTTCAGCAGCGACTTTAAATATCAGAATCCATTTTTAATTGCAGGAGTTTTCAGCTTCAGCAGGTATTTGGACAGTAAAGGGTTTTCTGGTGAAGTAACAAAGTGATAGATTGCCTCTCACTTGCAGAAGGTGTTTGTGAAAATCAATCTGGTTTGTCTACTCGCGTGTTACTGTTAGTGTGCATCTGTGTGTACCTGTTGTTCTTAACGTATCACTGTCTGGTGCAGGCTGCCTGGTCTGTGCATAGAGATTTTAAGTCAGTACAAGCGAGATACACACACACACACACACCGACATCATTAATTCCTTCCTGACTTACCTGTCCTGCCTGCTAGTTAGCATCAGACTCTACTTTTTCTTTTTTCTAGAGTTTGTTGAAATGTTTGGGTATTTAATTGTAACTACATTTGTGTTAAGTCCAGATAAAGCTGTGAATAAATGGTTGACTGATAATGCCACAGCCTCCTTTAGCTGGCAGATATGGTGGCACCATCTCTGGTCTGCTCTCCCCTCCTTGTCCTTGAGACAAGGTCCTGCCCCCGCTGTCCTCAGTGGGAGCTGTGCTTTGTTATTAACAAGGTTGCTAGCAACATGTATTTAAACAGGTCAATATCCACGACTCTCCCTCTGAGATCATACCAGTATTATCAGTCCCAGATGTGGAGGCAACATGTGGGCTGTGCTGTCACTCAGCACAGAAATCTGGAGATGTGTCACTGTTCACTTTGCACTCTGCTGTTCTCCTGGCTGTAAGATGTATCCTCTCGTTCCATCAGCCAGAAGTGTTGACAGCTGACTTTCCATCTCATGGCTACTGTATCCTTGCAGTGCACAAGTCCTCTCCGGCCTCTGCCACTTGAGCGTAGGGTCAGTGCTTTAACGTTATGCAGACACTATGACATGATGCACCATACGTCCATAATCACCTCTTGATAACAGCAACGTCTGCTCTCTTGAGCTACAAAGCAACATATTATTGGCAAAATAATTTCTGATTAGGGATTCTCGTCAAGTACAATGAAATAAAAAAGCGCATGGTGCAGGTTTGTTTGTTTTACGATGTGGACTAAATTGTGTTGCATGAAGTGCCTGTAATTGAAGTGGAGTGTAATTGTTTCCTTGACATAAATGTCATACATGTCTGCTGTCACGGAGGGATAAGCTCATCAAGACCTTCTTACTGCTGAGGCGGATGCATTTGCCTCTGGGCAGATGGAGCCCTGATTGACTTATTCAACAGATAGCACGTGTTGGTGAAACCCAATGTGACAGCATCTGTCTCTGCACTACACCATCGCTGCTCCTGCGCACAGCTATATGCCTCATTTGCTGGATTTGCCTTGGCTCAAACTAAGAATATCTATCAACTTTTCTGGGTTTTTTTTTTCTCCTTAGTCTGCCAGATCATCTGACTATAATATACAATATTTAAGATGTACAAAGATCAAATAATTTCTTAGTGTGCACTGTTATTACACATGTAGAGTATTAGATGCTGCGGTCAGATTCAGACATGTTGACCGAAGACATCATTTGTACTGCCAATGCTTGAATTCAAATCTTCTTCTTTGCTCTAATTGAATGTAGTTTTAATTTTCCACGAACATACTCGTCTCTTTTACTCTAGTAGAATTTGTAATCTTGAATGACAAAAGTATGTCATCATTCCCCCTTGTCCCTGGATCTAATTAATAAAGGTGTGAAATGCACAATCAACAAATACATGTGCCAAGTATATTCCGTCCCTCTCTTTGTGTGCATCTTAACCGTAGTGTTAGAGCTACCAGTACTTGTGAACTTACATCAAATGCCCCGGTCATAGAGTGCTCCGTCTGTGTTTTCCAGGTTAAGCCGAAGGTGATTGAGCCGCTGGACTATGAAAATGTGCTGGTGCAGAAGAAGACGCAAATCCTCAGTGATGTCCTCAGAGACATGCTGCAGTTCCCCCTGGAGGACTTTGAGGTGAGTTTCACGTCCCTTTCATGCATGCAAGTCACATCCACACCCGAAAAAAAAACTGCTGCAAAAGCCTCACTGTAGTAAATGCCTTGGTTATTGTAGCTGGGATTGTTTTGGTTTGGAGAAAGTTTGAGGAGAAGATTTTAGGGAAGCGATGTAAAGTTAGTGGTGGTGTGGAGCTTAAGGAGTGGTAATAACACTGTCATAGTCAGAGCTTTGACTTCCAGTGCGGCTGCTCATGTTACCACTGTGGTTTTCACTTTGGGTGAAAAGAAATCCACTACATAATAATTAATAGCTGTCCAAAATTCCTTATTTACCCGCCCACTGGTGTGTTTTCTTTGTTGTATTTGTCTTTTCCTTTGACCCAGGCGTGTCTAGTGCTGTGAGTACAGGGTGGGGTCATTCACAGGGGTTTTGTTTTTGTTTACGTCCTTCCATGCTGTAGCAAGAGAGAGAGAGGAGTCAGGGGCCCTCTGTTTAATTGGCTCATTCTGTCTCTAATGTTGTGACAGAGCAAGTGTTATCTCCAGCCACATTGTACAGGACGTACGCTCTCCCACACTTTCCACGGTGAGGATGGAAAATCTAAAATGGAAATCTGGCCCAGTGCTGGTACTTCAGGAAATGAGACCTGATTGAAAGATGTTCTTACCAACAGCAGCAATGAGATGTGCCGCATATCCTCAAATCTGACCCTGACGCTCTGTCTCACGGTCCAGTGGAACTTTCATAGTATTTTATTGTTGGAGCTGAATGGCAACTTAAGACAGTACATTACATTACAGTCATTTAAGAGGGATACAGATGTTTTATAAAAGCTATATTCCATCATGTGAATTTAAAAAAGTATTCTAATTGATGCACATTAAATTGCATCCTTTTGAATTCCTTTCACCTGCTGCTTAACCTGTAAATCTGAGGCAATTCTCAATGTCATAGTCGTATAGATGGAGGAGCTATATATTGATTTTCACTGTAAGACACTAAGGACAGTCAGCGATTTCCAAAAATCTTCCTTTCACTACAGTAAAATCCCCAAATATTGTACAAAAAATGTTGCAATACTTGCATACTTTAGTATGATATGAGTCAGACAGCAAACAGCAACAAATTGTATTATTTTCTTAGTTGCTAGATTTAAAAAAAAAAAAAAGAAGCTTTGTTTATATGAGAGCACTTGAATGCACCAGACTTTTCAAATCAATCTGTCCTTTTAAATTCATTACCATGCAACTAAAATACATTTTTTACAATAATAAAACGATTTTGTGATCTACATTATATGGGACGGTCTTATGTGAGAACAGATTTTTACTTTAAAAGTGATGCTTGTAGAAGTCTAAACAATTACTATATTATTCTACTATATTATACTTCACTACTATACTGTACTATACTATGCCATACTATTTTACATTTGATATTCTACTGTTATTATATTACTATTATACTGCTGCAGTATATTATACTAAATTATGTTTGTATTATTATTACCAGTATTATTATTACATTGCAGCTAATATTGCACCTAACATAATCTACGATATTATTATTATTATTATTATTATTACTGAATCACATTATATATTATTGTGGTGTACACATTGATAACATTCTAGATTTGCTGACGCCCTGCTATTAAGCAAACCATTGTCACTTTTCATAATTTTGTCTTTAATTGCTCTTGTGTAGTTAATATTTTTACTTCTATTCTTATACTTGTATGTAACTCTAATGCAACCTCAATATCCCATGTGGAGATCAATAATTGCTCTACTTATTTTAAAACCACTATCTAACCCAGATCACCTGTGTTGCAGGTTAAATGTGTACTGGAAACTTAAATGTATTCTGGGTGAAGAATCCTTCCAGTCACTGTACTGGAGAAGATGGCTGTGTGGAATAGAAAAAAACACTGTAAATAGAAAGTGTTTCTAACTTTGGGTTTGGCGCTTTTTAAAGCTATTGGTTACAGTGTACAGAGGCCTGGCAGCTGGGTGCTCAGTGACAGTGGGACAGCCTTGGCTTTGTCTGCTCTTGTGTCATGCTCCTCCAGCCTGCTGCTGTGAACATAACATACCAGCTTTACACACAAACAGTACGTTGTCAGGGGCTGACAGGTGATTCTGACGAAAGAACACCACAGGCACAGTGATTGAAGCTAACATCTGTTTCCACCGCCCCGGACTTGAGCAAGGTTTTAATCAGCTTCAGTGTCGAGGCCTTTTCAACTTTTGGTGCGTTTAGTGAAATGAGGTAAAGCCAGTATACTCAATATTCATACAAACAGTACTAAGTATACAGTGTTAATTGGTGATGAATCCAGTCTAAAACGGGCAGAAGCTCCTCTTTATGTTATTTTTTGTATAAATCCTGTTTTTGTTTGTTTCTCATTAATAGAAACCACGGGCAGGTCTCTCTACCTTATCTTATCCCTACTTGCACATCAAAAGTCATGTGTTGGTACTGGCCTTTTGTGAGCCAGTGTTTATATCATCGCCATCTGGTTTTGATCTGGAAGCTGTTGGCAAAACCCAGTTATGTGCCTGTGCTCTCTCTGCAAGGTTTCTGGAGAAATTTGTCAAGGATTACAAGGAGGGGGCCCTTCCTTCCCTGGGGTCTGGGCCCATCCCCTCCGTAAAGCCCACAGATCAGGATATTATTATTTTTCTTTTACTTAACAGTTTCCATATCTTTGAAGGATAAGGCTGGCGATGTTCTATATTTTTATTATTCTGAACAAAACTTTTACTAGCCACACTATCAGCATGGCTATATAGATGGTCCACCTCTTTTGGCGTGGAAGTGTAGCACCCACCCTCCAGTTCCCCCTCAGGTAAACACTATTGGCTCTGTCAGCACTGTTGCCATTGTTTGCACTGTTAGCGAATTGAGCACCTTTAACTGTAAGGAGTAGGCTCAGCCGTTGCCATGTTTAGAGCTGCGTGGAGGCAATAAATATGCTCTTAATTTAGAATTTAGTTTTTGACTAAATACTTGCAAAACTAATGACATTCCAGTAGTACTTTATGGTTATTGCTAATTAGCAAATGTTAGCATGCTAACACAATAAAGTCAGATGTTGAACATGTAAAGTATTATACCAACCAAACATCAGCATGTTAGCATTGTCATTGGGAAAATTTAGCATTTAGCTAATGGTCTTCCCGTGGGATTTGTTGACAATAACAAAAATAGAGAATATCCACGGCATCAGTTTTAACTTAGTAATTATGAAACCACTGCTGAGGTGGTGATGTCTTGAGGCACACTCGGGTTAGGCTATCCAGTGCTAATTTTGGGCTTATTTCACCAGAGAATCTCCTGGTTCTCCCTGGCGACTCGTAGCCCAATTAAATGCTTCCTGTTCCAAACTTCCTGGCTCCCTCTTACCTCCTTGCCTGTTTATTTCTGCTGCTTGGATTGTAAAGATTATCATCTGCCCTGCAGGAAACCTGGCTAGCGGAGAGGAAGGGGAGACCTCGGGTTCGAAAATGCGAGCTTGGTGTGGAATTCGTCGTAGTTTACGCGACTAACGCTCAGTCAAATACAAGGTCATTCAGGTGGACAGCAACTGAGAGAGATGCCACTTTTGACATTATATATTATTCTGTTTAATATTCTTTATTTAATAAATTGATTATTCAATCTATAAAATGTCAGAAAACAGTAAAAAAAAAAATGTGCGTAGCAGTCCAAAAGTATTTAGTTTATAATGGCATAAAGAGAAAGAAGGAGAGAAGCAGAAAACCCTCCTTTGAGAGAGAATATTTGGTATTTTTCCTAAAAAATGATTCCGATGAATTTTACAATCATCAGTTAGTAAGTGATTAATTTTCTGTTGATCCACCATTGAATTGGATACAGTGATATTATGGTATTATAAACACAGTTGACTGGTTATCATATGAGACAAAATCTTAACTCGTGTTTTTTCTTCATTAGATATACACACTATGGTCAAAGTACTTTCATTTGATTAGCTCCGTGGTCAATTGAATCGTAAACTAACATACATGGAACATATTTCTGCTCAAATCGCTTTTCATTTCAATAAAAATGTGTTGGGGAAAATATAATAAAGGTTTTCTCCGCATCCATCTCATCATAAAAACACAGCCGACAAGCATTTGACTCGTGCAAAGCCACGATTCACTTATTTACTTTTAACTCAGTCAACTGAACTGCTTCACTTAATGGTTGTATTCATATCACTCTCGCTCGAAGGGATTATTTGTGGTCAAATGCACTTTATTTTTGAATTAATCCTCCTGCTAAGACCTGATGGTGATGTTGTTGCACAAAGCAGTATTTTACATGTTTAAATAGAGCTCCAGCTTTTTACATTGAGCTAAGACTGACTTATTGGTTGGTTGTCTATAACAATGATTAAGAGATGTCAGAGCAGCTAGATGGCTGTCGACACGTCTTGTTGAAGTAGGCTTTTACCTTAGCTTTCTTGTTCTGCTGTGAAACTGCTGCTTGGCTACGGTGCACAGTAAACCTGTTGGTCATTACTGAAAGGCTTAAACGAGGTGTTAGAGGTGCTGAGATGCTGATTGCTCAGAGTGTGCAGCTGTACAACAGTGGCAGAGAGCCAGGCTCAGGGTGTGTCTGTGGTTCCTGGAGCTGAGCAGCATGGACAAGCATGCTGCCTCCCTCACATACTGCCCCTTTGAACCCTCAGAAACACATCAGTCCTTACTCAAACGTAGAAAAATATTTAAAAGACCACCAGGAGCAGAGGGAGTGTCCAGCTGAGACCACAAACTGTAATACTGGGTGTCCAGCTCGAGCAATGTCTTCCACATTTTGTTTTCACTTTTACAATGTTGTCATGTTTGTTGTGATTTCCTCGCTCTGTTGCTCTTGTTGAATTGAACCATTGCTTTGTTTTGCAGATTTCAACTTTGAGGCGGCAAGGCAGAACTCTCTACCCTACATTGCCTGAAAATGCAGAGAGGGAGGCCCAGAGTCTGTTTGTCCAAGAGGTAAGCTGATTTGAAAGCCCTGAAAGCACATTTTATTAATCAACTCCTTAGCTTTAGCGATGGGGTCCTACACAAACATAACATTCTCCTGCCAGTTTTGGTTATTTCACATTAGAGATTTCTGTATTTGTGTTTTTGTCTGAAGTGGGGAGAGGAAAAAATGTGATGTCATGTATTTACATTTAGCTAAATTTTGAATCAAAATCTGGATACCAGACCGATGTCAATCACATATGATCAAGCCACACTTACACAGTCCTGAAGAAGCATAGTTGTTGAAATTCTAAGTTGTTAAACAAATGCCACCTAACAATATTTACATAGCTGGGATATCTGGGATGTTGCTATCAAATAAAATAACAGCTTTTATTTAACTTCAGTGTAAACTTATGGGTCATTTTGGCAATCTTCAGGAGCAGTACTTCCACAGAACTTAACAATTGGCAACATTAAGTAGCTTGATGGACATTAAAGTTGAAATCTGCAGGTAAATTCAAGACTGTGTCGTTTTTATAATCGTGATAGGAATTTTGTGCAGGTTGGAATTAATACAAATAAAAACATAAAGCACTTTATGTACTATAACTGATTGCACAAGTATAGACGGTTTATTTAATTGCAGAAAATGTCCTGTACTGTTAATCGGGTACATGGGGTTAGGAAGTGGATAGGAAAGTACATCCCTTGCACGTAAACCACACAGACAAATTACAGCAGAATATTGACACTAATGTGAGTCATTACCGAATTTGTGGCCTAATAATAGCAGCAAGCTACATCACATCATGAAACCTCTTCATTTCAGCTACATTAATCTAACTTTGAATAGAAATGGTTGCGTAAATGGTGTTCGGACTCATTATACAGATCATTGCTGGATTGCTGGATTACAGAGAACTGGACTATTTGTACTGTATTTCCTCAGTATTATCTATTAATGCCAGAGGCCGCAGGAACAATAAAGTGCAATTAATTTTCACAATCCGCAAGTTTATCAAACTTCTGGTTATCGTCTGTCAGTGTTGGTTTATAGTGCTGTCTTTATGTGCTGAGTCTTGAGCATATCAGCTGTCAAACTGCAGCAAAAGACCACGACACAGAATAATAATGTTTAGTAATATAATGGCAGTGGAACTGAAAAAATATATTGTGAATTATTTCCAGTTGTTGCTCGAAAAATGAGAGAGGGTTTCATCTGCTAACGTTTACAGTGTTTTACCATCCGGCACATGCACACTTCTTTTACTGTCTTTTTTAAACCAGAGCTGGCTGGCGGTAATTCACCTTCCAGGTCAAAGTCAGTGTTTTAGGGAGCCTTTTCTGAAGTCATACAGATACTAAAAGTTCCAGTCAAGTGTTGTGTGACATCACCAGGGCAGCTGTGGGGATCAGCCCAGCAGGAGCCTCTCTGTTTCCCATCGCTCTCCTGATCAGGTTGCATTTCATCTCCCTGCCGGGGCAATTCTTGTAAACGGCACGTAGTTCTGCAGAATAGATACCAGTGAGCTGCTCCTATCGCTGACTAACAATGAACAGATGTCTCCTTTCCAAGTGAAGGCAGATAGAGTAACACTCCCTCCCAGTTTGTGTTAAGGAATGGTTAAACTGTACACTGACCATGCACAGAGGCTTTAATCGTTGTACAAAACAACCATTGTATTTTGATTATGCTTCTTGTAAATAAAAACAGCTGTAAGAAAATATGTTGTCAGCCACTGTATTTTATTCATCAACAATTATACACTTTCTGAAAGTATTTCATCTTGTGGATAGGTTTAAATGTTTCTGTGTCAGTTTTGCCTGAAGACTACAAGTTTGAAAAAGAAGAAAGAAAATTAACTTACCAGAAAACTGCACGTCACGACACTAGATGCTGCTAGCATAACACACCACAAATCTCTGACCGAACTGTGGCCGGTTTAGTTGCAGTGTGGGTAATGCAGGCGCCAGCTTTTGACAAGGAAGGAAAAGAGAAGATATCTCTGGTTCTGATGCATCGATTTGTATTTTTGAAAACAGTCCATTGGGAGACTGACAGTGTGTCAATCAGTGGCGTGCTCTTGGTGACAGTATACTTCAACTGAAGTGCTAGTCAGATGGTCGAACAATAGCGATGCACGGATCAGCTATAAACCCTGAAGCGTGCTCAGTAAGTCACTGAGTGGGACACTTAAGCAGCAAAACTTACTAGTTATAAACTTGGCAGAGGAAACAGAACTAAACCGTAGCTTCTGAAATAATCAATGAAGTTACGCTGCCATTCCTCGTGCGTGAATACACACAGCATATACACAAAGCACCACATTTTTAATTTGTTTTCATTCTTCCTAACTAAACACTAGTTCTTTTGACACATTCTGACACGTTGACACATCCCTAAAGTACCGCTGTACTCTGTGTTTTATAAAGTTGACACACTGTGCAGTCTGTTATAGTGCTCTTTAATTTGTTTTCATTGTCTTCTCAGTGCATTAAGACCTACAAATCTGACTGGCATGTCGTCAACTACAAGTATGAGGACTATTCTGCAGACTTTCGACAGCTTCCAAAGTAAGTCTTCAGTTGAAAACCTCAGGATTACTGTACAATATATACACAGAGGTAATGTGGTAACCTAAAATACACAGTGCATACACAGTCACTCACAATTTGTTGTGTTTTCAGTTCACCGAGAAAAACTGTCTCCGTTTTGTTTCCTCCTTTTGACAAAATGCTGTTGTGACTTAATTACAAGGAAACGCAGAGTGTAAATAATTGTTATTTCCCTGCAACAAAAGACTGTTTCCTTTTTACGGTGCATTGAATAATTCCTGCGTGCGTGCAGTCACTGTGGAAACCACCCTCATTGTCCGGAGATTGTGTCATCAGGTCCAGCCTTTTCCTCAAAGACTATCTATTTTACTACCAACATGTTGGAATATGAGTTGACAATGACCTTATGATCTCAAACGTTCTGTCTCTCAGTCTGGGGAAGTTAGAACAATACTCCATGACGTGAGTCTTACCTTTGGCACATTTGTATTTACCAGCAGGCAGTTTGCACCTCAGCAAAGTTTCCATGAACAGTCAACTGCTGCTTTTCAACAGTCCTGGAATTTGCTTTTGCTGAGTTCCTGCCCTTTTTCGGACCCTCTGGAGACAGCTGCAAACTTATTCAAAGAAAATGAAGAAAACATGAAGAAAAATCACATCTCAGTCGCACCTCTTCAGACCACATGTGCAAGAAAGATTTTCAGAGTGAACTGAAATTAAAGCAAAACACAATCTGCCATGAATATCCTGAACAATGCTGTTAAACGCCAAGTGCTAAGAATTCAAGTGCGAGCAGAAAAGTGTATCAAAAGTAGAAGAGTGTCCCTATATATATATATATATATATATATATATATACAAGCTTGTGTGTTAAGTAACTAGTAGCAAAAGCTGTCCGATAAATTTGTTGGATTAAAAAACGATATTTTCTTTTAAAATTCAGAGAAATGCAGATATTTTGGTTAAAGGAACAGTGTGGAGCATTAATGGGATCTATTAGCAGAAATGTAATATGATATGTTGTCTTTAGTGTGTAGTCACCTGAAAGACATCAATTGTGTTTTCGTTACCTTGGAATCCGTGTGTGTCTACATACGGAGCGGGTCCTCTTCACGGAACCGCCGGCCATGTTTCTACAGTAGCTGATAAGGGCCATTCGAGTTTTTGCGTCGACCAACGTAGTTCTCCTTGGCGCTTGCTGTTACACAGAAGTTCAGTTTGTTGCAATCTGCAACCTCACCGCTAGATGCCGCCCAACCCTACACACTGCTCCTTTAAGTTGCCTGTACAGTACCAGACTATGCAGTTACCTTGACCTGTAGTGATCTGTTCGTACACACTATGTTAACCTTTTCATGACGATCTATTATTTTACAGCAAAGTGTCCAGGCCCGATAAACTGGCTGTCCATGTGTTTGAAGTGGATGAGGATGTCGACAAAGATGAGGTGAGTCTATGAGTTATTTCTATGTCTAGAGTTTTCATCCTTTGATTTGCCAAAAACAATCCAATCAACACCTCAGAGTAATGAAGTATGTCTATTTGCAGCGTTTCTAGACTTCTTTTTTAACGCAGGATCACATCTTACCAGAAGCCTCGCCCAGAAAAGAAACCTTCATGCCGCTAAATGTGTCTTATTCCAGTCATCAGTTTTGCCTTTCCTGTTCTCATTATGGCTGTTAAAGAGATAAAGGGTAGTTTTGTGTCTAATAGCTGCATTTAATGGAAAGAATTAAGTGTAATTAGACTTAACTACTTTTGCTGGCACACAATGTCTCAAAACGGCCTCTTTTTTTTTACACAATAATTATTTTAGGTAACATTTAGATCTTTTCATCCCCTCTCTAATTCCGTTATGACGAGTGGGTGTGTGTGTGTTTTTTTAAATGAGTGTTTGTTATCTTTGGAAAGGCTGATTTGAGTCTTAAGAGAGGAGCTGTGGCTGAAATGTTATCTAACATACTATAAGGTCACGCACCCTCACAAGATGTATGATGATGATCCTGACCTACTCTCCTCACCTGATATGTCAAATTGTGCCTCCTATAGCAAACAAAATGTGCTTCAGTATTAGCAGAAGTACACAGTTAGGAGCTTTTAGGTTTTTAGAAAACAACACCACAAAGTGTCTCTTTTCCCTGCGTATTAGTTTACTGTGACTGTGACTGTGGAAGCTTTTGGCAGGTCTTCATGGGTCGTAGTCTGTCCTGCTCAGCCTCACCTCTGACACAACAGGACTTTCTTTTAACTGGGAGGTTGTTTGTGCAGATGAAAGAAAAGGATCTGAACTCATCATCTCTTTTTTTTATGGTTGTGTGTTTTGGACCACATGCAACTTTTGGTTGTGAGATTTGGTTTGCCTTCTCTTTGCCTGAAAACTCTTTGGAGTTTCGTAATGTTTGGTTTGGTTATTATTATTTTTTTAGTTCTCTGGAGTTCAGAGAGAATGATCCCGTGATTTGTCTGCCTCTCTGTGGACCGGTGAACGTTGTCTAGACATTGACGGGGATAAACGGGCACCGAACCTTTCCAGATGCGTTTTAGATCACTCCACACAAGGCACGTTGAAAATATCCAAATTACTGCTTGCACTTTTAAAATCCCCCTTTAGCTTTATTATACTGAGAGAAAAAGTGGTGCTGGACCAGAATGAGGACATCTTGAAAGACCATTCACTTTTCGCATTGTGTGAAATTGTCAGGGATACAGTTCCTCACTTGTAGTCTTGTAAAGTCAGGAAGTGTAACTGTAAATGACAGGGCTGATCTAAAGGACGACAGAGATCTCATCTTCCTTCTTTACTCCCTTATTGGTTTATTTCTACAGATCGCGATAGCTGTTGGATCACGGAGGCTTTGTGTGTGATCTCATGCTACTCGCCTTACGAGTGTGAGATGATTATGTTCCTCGTGTCATGTATCTGCTGGGAGGAGGGAGATGTTTATTTTGTTTAACGGTCATGGTTTGTTTAATGTCCCTCTCCCTGCTTGTTTGGACGGAGACAGACCTGCATCGGGTTCTGCTCTGTGTCGCCTCAAACCACAACATCAAAGGTTTTCTGCACAGTAAGGCGAGGCTTTGGCAGGGTGTGTTAATGTCATCTGGGATATGATATCAAGATATGATGACTCGCTACATAAATATCCAAATAAAGTCCCATTCTTCTTTGGGCAAAATCTGCCAGCTCTGCCATTTAGTCGTGCGTTTTTTCAACGTATCCACTGATTTTGACAATTTCTTGGAAACAGGAGATGGAGTTTTGCTGTAATTACTCCATAATTTGCCCAAATTTAAGTATTGTTTGTTTCAACATTAATAGAATTTGAATTGTTGTTAATGATTTCACTCCACTGGTACATTTGTGTATATGTTACAGAACCAATGATAGATTACATGGCTTTTTCCCTTGCAGTGTGTATTAAATTGTCTCATCTTGTGTCTTTGTCTCCTGCAGGATACGGCCTCCCTAGGATCCCAGAAAGGCGGGATTTCCAAACATGGCTGGCTGTATAAAGGCAACATAAATAATGCCATCAGCGTCACCATGAGGGTGAGACAGTGGGGACATTTAAAACTGAAACCATCAGTCAATTAATTGATTATTCGATCAACAGGCAGCTAGTTTGACAGGTTAAGTGTTTGAGTCACTTTTCAAGCACAAATGCCGAACATTTGCTGGTTCCAGGTCCTGACATTTTGCTGCTTTACTTTGTCTTATTAGATAGCAAACTAAATATATGTGGCTTTTGGCAATTTGAAGATGTGACCCTTTGGCTCTTGGAAGTTATGATGGGCATTTTTTTAAGTTTTCTGATATTTCACAGACAAGTTGAATTAATAATAATTAGGAAAAGTATTGACAGATTTAAATAAGCATTGGTTGCACCCACAATACTTCAAAGGACTTTACAATCTGTACAGCATAAGACAATTCTATCTTTTTCTATATCTATCTATTGGTTTAGTCATTGCCTTTTTAAAGAAAGGAATTGTTATTACTGGCTGTATACAGTTTCATGCAGAAGGTGTAAAGGACTTGAATGTTATGACCAAAACATTGTATTTATTTTCCCAATAATTAAAAGTTATGTCTTTTCTTTTTTTCCAGTCGTTCAAGAGGAGATATTTCCATCTAACTCAGCTAGGGGACGGCTCTCATAATTTAAACTTCTACAAGGATGAGAAGATCTCCAAAGAGCCCAAAGGAACCATTTTCTTGGACTCCTGCATGGGTGTTGTTCAGGTACAATCTAAAATAAGTATCTTTGGCATGAAGGCAGTGATCGTTGAACTGCGATGACCCTGAATAAACCATTGCCTGCTTTGCCAAAAGGGATATCCCGTGGCCTGGTACATCATGGAAATGAAAATGTCATTTGCTGGAAATACAGTGAGAATACGGACAAGGCTACTTCCTCTTCACAATTCTTTTCCCAGTAAACGTATTTTCCAACATGCAGGGTAAAACGTAAGCTTCAGTCAAACAACAGGCAAAATTTCACCACAAATTTCTCTGACATCGATGGGCTGCTGCTGAAAAGTATCTGAGAGACCCTATGCTGTTCATTTCCCTGAAACCTGAGCTCCCTCCTCCCCGAGGTCATGCTTTACTGCTGACTCTCAGCTGGTGAAACAAGGTGAATGCTGAGGACTCACTTCCCTGCACTTTCCATCGGCCTCACGATCAATGCCACGTGCATGCATCTGAGTGTAGGCCAAGACTCACTGGGGTGCATCATCATCATTTGTCTACCATCTCAATAGATGGAAAGAAACAGATATTAGTGATGAAGCACCCAGCTGGCATCGATCGGTTGAGTGATTTTCCAGGACTGTCTGATTCCTATCATGTGTTGAGGGGGAGAGTTATCAGGCCACAATGTAGAAGGAGGAGACGGTAATACATGGTGTTTGAATGCTTTTAGATTTTTGGAGTGTTTATCAGTGCCCCCCCCCCCCCCCCCCCCCCCCAGGGGGCCCATACCAGCGTTCATCTCCATCCCTCTAGTTTGTTTTCAGTGAAAATACTCCAATTTAGGAGATGCCCTCAAAATATGTCGTGATTCAGTGGGTTGTACATTGATTATGATACAGAGCCGGTGCTTTAATCAATAAACCATTCTGTTGGGGATTAACTTACTGCAGTCATTCAGCAATGCGCAGCCTCTTGTAGATCACATACAGTTGATGAGTTTTCTGCTCTGTTGAAGTCTCAATGATCATGTGACTGAGACTCCACCAGTGCTCTGTGAGTGGAACTGCAGATGTTTAACTCTGCAGCTGTAATGACATGTGGATTGACATCATACTGAGCCTCAAGCTGCTCCTGCGCTTTGTTGAGACGCCAACATATGCTTAAACACACAAAGCATTTGCCACATATTAATGAGGTGATCAGCGGACCCTGTAGTGTAATAACATGGAGCAAAAGTGCTAAAAAAGACGACAGATAATTGTGGTTTGTGGGTTTTCTTTGCTCCTTTCAACACAATTCTTCTTGTCTTCACTGTTCTAAGAATACAGCTGCTAACAATATCTAAGAAATGATTTTGACTGGTTTTCCCAGTCATTTCCCTGAGGGGGGGTGTGCAGCTTTGTTGTCCAGAAGACGGAGAACGGTCCTCCCGACCTATCTGATGATTAAGTCTGTTTATCAAGACTCTTGTTTTTTTCCCCCAGCCTGTCTCCCTCCCTATCACTCCCACTCTGCTGTTTCAACATCGCAGGCCAGCTACAGTGATAACCACAGCATAACAGTCCACTGACTGCTGACAACAATGAGATGACTTCCATATTTAACAAAATGAATACAGTTTGAATACTTTATTATAACGCTATGTATCAGCAGCTGAATCAGCTTTTATAGGCTCTGAATGGGCTGTAATAAAGAAAAGCCCAGATTGGATAGTGACATCATTGAGGTCATAGTTCGGTGCTGCAGATCCAGCTCATTTTCTGTTGACTTCACTCAGCAGCTCCATCTCACTTTAGAGAAGTCTCTGCTGTGGTCCTGGCAGAGCTTCAGGCTTTGTTACGCAGATGGAAATAATCTGTCTCTCCCTAACTCTCATTGTCCTTTTGCTTTCTGTGGAAGTTAAATTAAATCTGGGTTTAGCCTCCCATCTCTTTCCAAAACTGTGATCTTTGGAGCAGTCATTTTTACTCCAAAATATTGTTATTTTATGTTTTTGCAGGCTCAAACTAAAGGGAAGTGGTAGAAATAAAGTGGATCCAGCTACGATTTAGATCATAAAACTAAGAACCTACAGCCTTCTGATGAGCTGGCAGTTGTTAGATGTTAGCTTTGGATAGCAAGATGAAACGTTCCTTCAGCCCTGCCATGTCCACAGTTGGATATTTGATTTTCAAATGTGAAAAACTAAACGTATTTAATGAATCATTCAATATCAGATACCAACACACTTGGAAACCATGAAACCTACCTTTTTTTGACAACAAAAAGACTTTGATCTTTCAAGTTTGACTCTTCATACGTTGTTCATCCTCCTCCTATTCTTCTTTGTGTGGCAGCAGAACAACAAGGTTCGGCGGTTTGCTTTTGAGCTGAAGATGCAGGATAAGAGCACCTACCTGCTGGCCTCAGACAGTGAAGGAGAGATGGAGGATTGGATCAACACACTCAACAAGATCTTGCACAGCAGCTTTGAGATTGCCATGCAGGAGAAGAGGAATGGAGACATTCACGATGGTGTGTGTTCGTCTGTCGGTCCATATTTTTCCAGCAAATATGAAATGGAATATTATTTTGTCAAAATATTATCCAAGTCCATGATGAGAAATGATTTATGCAGACTAAAATATATCAGACAAAAGCAGCTTTTGTGTGGTCGCGCTGGCAAAAATATGTGAATAATATAAGTGTTTTGCTCCTTAAAGTTATGGGTAAGAGTCCAGACAACAAGGTCTCTACTGTGCTTGCTGTTTTCAATTTGTAGAGCTGCAACAATCATCCACTTAATTGATAAGTTAACCAACAGAAAGATAATTTGCAACTATTTTCTTAATCAATTAATTTTTTTCATTTCAGTTTTTAAGAAAAATTGTTCAGTTCCAGCTTCTTAATGACAATTTTGAAGATTTTCATTTGAATAAATGTCAGTTAAGTCCCTATCTATCGGCACAGGAGGTTACACAATTGTGATTCGAGCAAATGTGCCACTGATGAAAGTGCTGCAATATTTAGATTTCTTTGTAATATTACGAACTGGGTGTCTGTGGCAACATCCTGGAAAAAAAATGCTGTATTACAGTTTTTCTCTATTGTACAGACGCATTAACTGGAACTATGCACACAAATCTGAAAAGATAAAGCTCATGTATCAAGAAAAAGACTCCAGACTGCTAAACTCTAGTACAATTCTATTGTTTTATCTCAAATAGAAATTCTAAATCAACCAGAATTTCGGATTGACACTTTAGATTTGACTGTTTTTCTTAGTCTTCTGATTGTTAACTGAATATCTTTAGGCTTTAGACTGTTGTTCAGACAAAACAAGACATTTAAGGACGTCAGCCTGGGGTTTGGGAAATTGTGTTGGACAGTTTTCACAAATATTTTACAGGTGAAACAATACATCATGAAAATTCTTAACAGGATAATCTTAAATGAAAATAATTTGTTTTAGTTGTATAAACCATCTTCACTTTTTAATGAATGCAGTTGATTAGAATAGCTACCATTGTAATATTTTTTAAACTAAGCACTAAGATGAAAAATACCTTCAGTTGTTCTATCTAAAATAATTATCACCCACACATGAAGATCCAGTAAATCCACTCATCATTATCAGTTTTTGTACTCTGGGGTACTGTATGTACCTGAGGATCATTCACACCATCATCCTCTCAATGCTCTACTTCTTCCTGGCGCTGTAGTGTAGCGTAGGGATATGATACCAGACCACCCAGGCCTTTAATACTCCCCTCCTGTCTCATAGGAGGCTTAAGCCACGGAGGAAAGAGTTTGAATGCCTCTGCACAAAATGCTCCACTAATCTTCCCTAACTCCTCAGGTTTTATTAATCACGCTGTGCATGAGAGGAAAAAACACGATTCTTCTTGAGGAGAACTCTGAGCTTTAATAAATATGCCATTAAGACCTGCTGTATCTTCATCTCAATCCTACTGATTCCTGTACAGTTAAAATGACTGTTTACTGATCTTTGACATGTCAGTAAGCAATTAAGGGTGTTTAACAATGCAGGGGGGGGGGGGGGGGTGTTTTGTTTATGCTCAACTATCTGTGGCCTGCATCCAATGATTTCTTCCATTTCCCTCTAGATGATGATCTTGGAAAGTCCGACAGTTCCTCAGGCAGCATGGACAGCTTTCAGGTAGGTCATACTTTCATTGAAGTTGTAAGGAAGAGGGCCTCTTTAGCCACAAACATGTGGCTTGGATTTAGATTTAAGAGATGCTGGTTACACACCTAATTTCTCAGTCATTCATTTGTTTTTGTGGATCTGATTTGACATTAAACACAGACCTCTTGTCATTGCGTTTCATCCCAAAAAACAACACTGCAAATATGCAGTAATGGAAAAAGCTGACTCTTGCTTTGGCATAATGACACATGCATCAAGAGTATAAAGATTTTTTTAGGATAGAAACATTTTTCAAATGATTTACTGACTGATGACTTACAGGCGGCAGACGTTTTTTGGGGGTTTTTTCAGCTTCTCATGCTGTTACATTGCCGAGTGCCACGCAATAACAAGGCCATATGTGCATGGAAACTGGTTGTATCAGTTAACGGGGAAACAGTTTGACAGGTTACAGTGTGCTGCACTGAAGTGAATGCTTGTACCACCTGATAAAACCAACTGACTGGATTTTCTCATGTTTCAGACGGTATGTGGTTTGAATTTCGAAAAATGCCTTTCCCCTCCTCAGAGCGCACGAGATATCGAGTCTAGGATGAGGAACGAGATCAGATTGAAGTTGTTCACGCTGGACCCTGACACACAGGTAATTACATGTAAAGCTCATTTTAGTTCACATATTTCCATGCGGTAATGAGGTCACACCCAACACTTCCTAATGAAATGTGCTAACTTCCATCGTGCTGTCTTCAGAAACTAGATTTCTCAGGAATAGAGCCGGATGTGAAGCAGTTTGAGGAGAAGTTTGGCAAGCGTGTCCTGGTGAACTGCAATGACCTCTCGTTCAACCTGCAAAGCTGCGTGGCCGAGAACGAGGAGGGACCAACCACAAACGTAAGACACACGAGGCCCTAAATAACTGAAATATCATTATCCAGCTGCCTGAAGACAGATGAGACGTTGTTGTAGAGCGGCCGCATTGACTCCCGTCATTATTCGAGCTGCTGAAGGACTCTTGTTGGCATAGCAACTAGGCACCAGGCTCAGTCATGGCGAGCAATCTGTATAATGGAGCCTGATGTCCTGCTGTCCCTCCGAACAGAAACTGTCTATTAAAGAGTCAGTTAACAAGACTCCACACTGACATGACACGCACACACACTTTGAATCGTGTTCAACCAGCTCTCTCTGTTGGTGCATCTTTAAGTACTGTAAGATGACATTTATCTTTGTGAATATGTAGGTTTTTTTTTTGTTTTTACATTTATTTTCATTGAGATGACTTAATTTTAGTAGTTTTATCTGTATTTTTTTATTTTGTTTAAAGTGTCCTTATTTTGCACTGTGCACGTTGCCTGTAGTGTTGTTAATTATTTAGGATGGCTGAATAAGAGGGTTGAGTGATGCATTACATTTGCTGTCAGAGTCCTGCTGAAGCACCCATTTAAGTGGACTCTTTACCCCTGTCCCGAAAGTAGTTGTAATGTAGTAATTATCTCGTTAACAACAGTTTGGTTGCCTGATTATGCAGACTGGTTGACGAAATGCACAAGTTGAAACCATCCTCAGCATCATCTGTCCAATGCAGAATTGTTACAGTACTGACCTTCTTCTCCAGGTGGAGCCATTTTATGTCACCCTGTCACTGTTCGACATCCAGAGCGGCAGGAAGATCTCCTCTGACTTCCACGTGGACTTAAACCACCTCTCTGTAAGGGGCATGGTGCCCAGTAACACCAGTCAGTATATGAACGGGGGAGGGGACACCCACCCAGAGGGGCAACGATTGGTCCATGGAGTGCCCGAGGCAGCCATGCAGTATCCAAGACAGGTAAAAATACAGAAAAGCATACCTCAAAACAAAATGACATCGGTAAGAAAACAAATAAGACTACAGTCATGCCAGTGTCTCTGTGAAGCTGCACTGTTCACAGTGGTGCTTTGAGCTAAGTGCTAACGTCAGCATGCTAACAACGATGCAAACATGCTGATGTTTAGCTGGTATAATGTTTACCACGTGTACCATCTTTTTTTGCTAATCAGCTCTAAACACAGAGTTAAGCTGAGGCTGATGAGAATGTTTTGAGCGGAATTAGTTTTGCAGGTATTTGGTCGTAGACATGATGATGGCGTTAGAGGAAAAGTCAGGGGATCACCAAAGCTATTACGATGCATCCTGAGGGGGGTATGAATGTCTGTGTTTGCTCAACGACTCCCCCGTTCAAATGTGTATCTTGTTTCATATTCAGATCTATCATTTCAGATGTCAAATACATGTTTAACATTGAGAAAATTCTAACGTTTTCACCGTCTCCACAGGGAGTGTTCTCGGTAACATGCCCCCATCCAGATATCTTCCTGGTGGCTCGCATAGAGAAGGTGCTTCAGGGGGGAATCAACCACTGTGCCGAGCCCTACATGAAGAGTTCAGACTCCACCAAGGTACTGACCCACCCGTGAACCTTCATCGTCCTCTGCACGAGGCAGCACGTTCCCCCGGACTCAGCAGATTCCACCAGATTATTCTACATTATGCACAGATAATCGTCCTTGTTTTCAAGCGCCGACCAGTTGCTCAACACAAGCATTGACTTTGGCTGTACAAATGCGGTTGTGCGATGAAGCTCAACTCACACTGTGTTCCTGTTTTACACTAGGTGGCACAGAAGGTCCTGAAAAATGCCAAGCTGGCATGTTGCCGGTTAGGCCAGTACAGGATGCCTTTTGCCTGGGCAGCAAGGTACTTTATCTTTTTTAATAATGAAGATTTTTAAGTGTCTGTTCTGTCTTCTGTCCGCTTCAACAATATAAACATTTGCTCCTTTCTCTGTTTTTTATTAGTGTAAATCTTTTTTAGGATGTCACTTTGGGCTTAATAGATTAATTAATGGATTAATCAATTATGGAAATAATTGGGAGATGCAGCCCTAGACTGTAAATAGTCTTTCCTTTGTCAAATGAAACTTTATCATCCAAGTACTTTCGCTCATTCAAACAGTTCATACATGTGCGTTCAGGATAATAGAAATGTTCCTGACTCTTCTTTTACTTCTTGCAGGCCGTTGTTTAAAGACGCTTCAGGGACGCTTGACAAAAGTGCTCGTTTCTCAGCTCTGTACAGACAGGACAACAACAAGCTATCCAATGACGATGTGCTCAAACTGCTCGCCGATTTCAGAAAGTTAGTAACGCTTCTATGAGTGCTCTGTATTATCCATTGTCTGAGTAGTCTTGCAGATGTTCTGGAAAGGCAAATGTGGAAAATATGTTCCTATAGGTTGTACTGGAAAAGGCTGGTCAGTTTTAAAAATAAGATGTTTGCTCACATATGAATGTGGTGTGTGTGTGTATATACCATTTCTAGATGATAGCTACGGCTTGACTGTAATTTATTTCCCTTTCCCCAGGCCAGAGAAGATGGCCAAGCTGCCTGTAATCCTAGGAAACCTTGATGTTACCATTGACAATGTAGCCCCCGACTTGACAAGTAAGGCCTCTAAATTTGCTCTGTGCAGCCAACGTGAGAGATGAAAGCTGCTCAGAGCAGAGTGTTTATTTGGTCTCCCTCCCTCCTGCTTCTGTATATAGATTGTGTTACCTCATCCTACATTCCTGTGAAGCAGTTTGATGTCAGTGAGAAGACCAACATCTTCTTTGAAGTGGAGGAGTTTGTGCCGTGCATAGCCAAATGTTCTCAGCCTTTCACCATCTACAACAATCACATCTATGTCTACCCGAAGAACTTGAAATACGACAGCCAAAAGTCATTCACAAAGGTATCTCAAACTTTTATTGCGCAGTGTTACTACCCTAAATTAAATTATCGTGGTCTGAAGCTACGGCACTTTTTTCTCATGGTTTGGCTAACTGGGTTAATTTGACTCCTTGTCTGCCCTCAGGCTAGAAACATAGCTGTCTGCATTGAGTTCAAGGACTCGGATGAAGAAGAGGCAGTTTCACTAAAGGTAAACTCAAATCTTTCCTGGAAGTGCTTCCAAATCCCCAAAGGAAAGCCCCTCCCGTCACAAGAGCCCACTAACTATTGCTGTCATTCCACAGTGCATCTATGGCCGACCTGGAGGACCCTTGTTTACCAAAAATGCCTTTGCTGCAGTGTTACATCACCAGCACAACCCCGAATTCTACGATGAGGTAAGACGCACTGCATCAAATGTCTTTAAACGGAAAAGGTGAGTCAAGACAATCACTGACTGTGTTTTTATTTGTGCTCTTATTCCTTAGTTTAAGATTGAGCTGCCAACCCAGCTCCACGAGAAACATCATCTGCTCTTCACCTTCCACCACGTCAGCTGTGACAGCAACAGCAAGGCCAGCACCAAAAGGAGAGACCTGGTTGAGACTCAAGGTGACACTGATTCACAATCGCATAACTAAAAGATATATGTATTTTGTATATTCTTACTGGCTTGAAGCATCCGGCTCTTAGCTGACTGTCTTTGCCTCTTTCTCTGCTCTCAGTGGGTTACGCCTGGCTCCCCCTGCTGAAAGATGGCCGGGTGACCATGAATGAGAGTCAGATCCCTGTGGCTGCCAACCTGCCTGCTGGATACCTCAACTGTCAGGAGGGAGCCGGCAAGGTAGATTGCATCCCCACATTGTTAAACTCTGAGTAGATGAAGCCAAGCCATCACTGCTTCAGTGCTGTCCTCTCTTTCTCAATCTTTAGTGCAAAGCTGTTTTTAAATGAATATGTAAATAAACGTCAAGCCAAAAGCCACAACCCACAATATGAAAACTTGACTTTTAATGGGATATGAAAGCTTGCAACAAAGGGGCATATTTATAAACATCATGACTTGGATTTCCTGCAGAATGGTTACTGAATTATTGAGACTTATTATTGCTTTTTCTCTGTATTACAGCATTCTGTCCCTGAAGTCAAATGGGTGGATGGAGGCAAGCCGATATTTAAGGTGTCCACTCACCTCGTTTCCACTGTCTACACTCAGGTTTGTTTTTGTTTTAACAAACTGTTGGTAATAGTTGTAGTGCTGATTCATCTGCAACCCTTTTCTTTCTTCTTTTTTTTGTCAAATCTGAAGTTGCGATGTGGTTTCATTAAAACTCAGCTTTGTGGAATGAACTTCTGTAGCCTGACCTTCTTTGTGTCTCTCATAGGATCAACATTTGCACAATTTCTTTCATCACTGTCAGAGCAGCGCACCTGCACCCAAGGTGTCCGGAGGAGAACTTGTTAAATACCTGAAGGTAAAACAATGAGTATAAAATCAAGGGATTCACTACAGATACTGACTTTAATACATGCCAAGTAATGTTACAAAATGCTTTTTGTTCAATTCATTTGTTAAGATTATATGTAAGTAACATTTTTCTAATTCACATTCATTTTTATTATTATATATTAAATATATATATATATATATATATGTATCCTAAAAAATTATATATGTTTTCCTTCATATTGTTTATTTCTAACAAGAATGTGTAGACATTGTCTTTATTGTCGATTAACTAATTGGCTAGTAATGGCTGTACGTACACTGAGTCATATTTGAACCATAATACACAATGTTGACATACAGTCTATATTTCAGTCATTGCATATACTGTATACATAAAGGATTGGGATTCAAGTCTGAACAGAATTAAATGAGAGCCTTATTTTTGGATACCTGAAGGTATTTGTCAGACATGTTTTCATGTCTGTAACTTCTCTGTATTATCTTGCAAGCTAACCGGAGCTCATACTCACCGTGGAACCGTAGACAGTCACGCTTGGCTAGAGCTGAATCACATGGATGTGATCAATGCTGGGCGCTGTGCTGTAGCTTTCCAACAGTGCATTCTTCTGGACAGTTTGTGAAGAGCTATTTCGATTGACATTCATACAGGGTTTAGTTGTTCCTTAACTGCAACGATTAGGCCGATACCAGTAAATTTGTCAAATATCAACCTCTTGTTGGCTTGATACTTTTTCCACTCTTTTCTTTGGTTCTGTTTCACTTTTTCCATCAATCACTCTTATTCCAGTTCATGGGAATCTCAGTTCACTCTTCCCCAGGCAGACATTGACACTCTTGGGTTCTAATGTATACACAGCAGTGAACACGAACAATAGCCAGAGGGTCAAACAGCAGCTCGGCCATGTTGACTGGCAGCTCGCCAAATTACTTGGCAGGGTGTTAGTTTCCTGTACAGGGCAAAATGTACCAGTACCTACACTCTGCCATGTTCCAGCCAATTTAAGCATACGTTGTGGGTGATTTGCACAGTGTTTTTTCCTCCAACATGTTGTTATTGGTAGGCTTCTGTGCTCTTTGCTTGTTTGAGTAACGAAAGAAGGTGTTGTCTCTGTTTTCCACATGTATTCTCCTCATTATACATGTAGGGCCATGCAGTCAAATTCTACATAAACAAATGTCTGTGATGTTTTACCTTCAGAGTCTGCATGCCATGGAGAGCCATGTGATGATCAAGTTCCTGCCCACCACACTGAATCAGCTGTTTAGGGTGCTAACCAGTGCCACCCAAGAGGACGTGGCAGTCAACGTCACCAGGCAGGTTTCCTCTGGACGATCCCTGACTTTAGCTTAAAATTCAAGTAATGTCATGTAAATGATGATAAACAAGTTTACATAGAATTGGAAATATTACATTTTCAGCATTTATGTATAAAAGAGAACTCGGTAGAGTTTACAATTATTTTTAAAATGATGATTTGCATGATTTTTTTATTTTTTATTTATACGACATATCTGTCATTAGGACTTTCTGGCATGCAAGAACTTTGTGGGAATAATTTAAAACAAACACAAAGTAAATAACTGTTAATAAAAGATGCCTCCTCCGACATGCTTTCCCTTTTCCATTGTTTCCTTTTAGAGTCATGATTCACATTGTTGCACAGTGCCACGAGGAGGGTTTGGAGCACCACCTGAGATCCTATGTGAAGGTAAAATTCACAAGCCACATGAAACAACTCAATATCTATATTATTGTGTGCCTGTACTCATAGTTATCTCTGCATGTGTCTGGTACAGTTTGTATTCAAGACTGAGCCACAAACGTCCGCCACCACCCGATCAGTGCATGAGGAGCTGGCTAAAGCCATGACCGCTATCTTGAAGCCTTCCACAGACTTCCTCACGAGTAACAAGCTCCTCAAGGTGATATAGTTGTACTTTTTTAAAGGATTACACGGTGTATGATTATAACTGCCATGAATTTCCTCTTTATTGTTCTCTGATTGATGTTTGTCTGCCCTGCAGTACTCCTGGTATTTCTTTGAAGCCTTAGTCAAGTCCATGGCTCAGTACTTGATTGAGAGCTGTAAAGTGAAGGTAAGTCTGCCGCAACATTTGTGTTTGACTCAGGGGTGCTTTTCACCAGCTTAGGCTCCTCGCTGTGGTTACAACATGCCAGGTCTTGTGGACAGCCGCAGCACCACAGTCAAAGTAGGATGTATCCACAGTCTGTCCCACACTGCTCTGCAGTTTAATTGGCTGCATTTGTTCATACCCCATAAGCAACCACATCCCTGTGTTTAACCTCCAAGTAAACGCTCCACAAGAGTGGGTCACGCCACTCTAGAAACTGTTTCAGTTAAAGTCCAAGGCTGGGGATATGCTATATTTTTGCTATTGTCACCAAATCACGCAAAAAGACCAAAACCAACAATATGTAATGAAGGAACATGGTCCACATGCAACAGTGTGGCTCGTTGATGTGTTTTTGTGGCACAGAAGAATAAGCTATATGAGGCTTTGGTTATAAAAACAATGTTATTCATGCATTGTAGATTTTGGTCTTTTCATGGGATATTTTTTCATCATGAAACTAATTAAGAATATCACCTTCAACCCTTTTAAAATGCGGTGTGTTATTCTGTGTAATAACATTTGTACAAACGTCCATGCTGCGTCCTACAGCTGTCCAGGAATCAGCGCTTCTCAGCATCCTTCCATCACACTGTGGAGACGCTGGTCAACATGATGATGCCACACATCACTCAGAAATATAAAGACAACCTAGATGCTGCCAGGAATGCCAACCACAGTCTGGCGGTCTTCATCAAGGTCAGGAGCCACAGTTACCGTCATGGTGTTTGAGAGCACCGTCTGTATTCAAGTATACACTTAAGACTTATTTTCTTTTCCCCATCCTTCTGTAGCGCTGTTTCAACCTGATGGACAGAGGCTTTATGTTCAAGCAGATCAACAACTACATCAACTGTTTTATGCCTGGAGACTCAAAGGTGCATGATCAAAACAGTAGAAGCATTTATACAAACAAAAAGTGTCCTGATGGAGGATATCAGGCTGTGCTCCAAGTATGTTTTTGACGAGCGTTGTGTTTAAGCTGCTGCTCTGCTTTCTGTCATTTCCTAATGCAGACGCTGTTTGAGTTCAGGTTTGAGTTCCTACGTGTCGTGTGCTACCACGAGCACTACGTCCCCTTAAACCTGCCCATGCCATTTGGAAAGGGAAGAATACTGAGATTTCAAGGTGAGGAGATCATCAACTTTACCTCTCGATCAAGTACCAAGCCTTATTGTAGTGTAATTCAAATAGGCTTTCTGTTAATGTAGCAGTCTTTTTTTATTCTACAGAAAGCACTTTTTTCGTGTTCCTCAATTAGCTTTATTATCTCCAAATGATGCGGTGGAGTCGTGTGATAATCTAGTAGGTAGGTGGCAAGGGTGTGCTGCTTGCATGTCATCCCAAGAGCAGACTTTGATCTAATCATTCAACCGTGACCAGAATGGGTAAAATGATTTGCTCCAAATTCTGAACTCAATCGGTTATATTCCACTATTGCTGCATCCTGGTCGATGTAGCATGATTGTATATCTATCTTTTTGAAGACACTGTACATAGAGATTATACTGTTTTATTATTTGCGGCGGTATGCGAGTATAGAAGCTGAGATTGGCTCTTTGTGCAGATGTGGGTGAGTTATGTGTGCAAGTATTTTTTTTTTTTTCTGTCTTGAAGTGGTTTGGGATTTATGACTATAATTCCAAAAGACACGTTATCTACTGTCATTTCTAAAGAATCGGATCCTTTTAATGATTGCATGCTAAAAGAAAATGCAGGTTTTAAAAAGATTAAAGTAGTTAAAACATTGTGTTTAACTTGATTACAGCCATTTAGGGGAGTCTTTGTGCAATTTGGTGTTGCTGTGAACAGCTTTTTTTAATTTAACTTTTATTTTACCAGATTTTTCTCATTGCGATTTTAAAATCTTTTTTTCGAGGGAGTCCTGAAAGCTCAATCATAAGCTTTAATCCTGTTTGTCTGTTTCAACAATGATCACTGTTGTCTGTTGTGGAGCAGCCGCTCAGTCACACAGTCTGCATCAATACCAATCATAAACAACAAAAAACATAAATGCCAAGCTTTTCTGTTTGAAGTCAACAACAATAATTTGTCAGCGAGGGAGATTTCCAAGCTTTAACGGTGTCAACGATCTGTATTCTGTCCAAGCTTTCCTGTTGTCTTGTTGTTAATTGAATTGTGTCTGATTGATATTGAATAACAATGTACTCTCATTGTGTGTGACTTCATCTCTATTCACATCCTTCACTCACTTCTCTGTCAGCCAATCCTAATTTCTTCATCCTCTTCTTCCTCCACTCAGATCTCCAGATGGATTATTCACTGACGGATGACTTCTGCAAGAACCACTTCCTGGTCGGACTGCTGCTCAGGGAGGTCAGTGCAGCTCTGCAGGAGTTCAGGGAGATTCGCCAGATAGCCATCCATGTGCTGAAGAATCTGATGATAAAGCACACATTTGATGACCGCTACACCTCCAAAGTAAGCAGTGCCCTCTTACCTCCATCTCTTTCATTTCCACTTTCCTTCAGTGTCGGACGTGTGTGATCTCGAGACACTCTTTGAGATGATTTATGTGTTTTCAGAGCCAGCAGGCCAGGTTGGCCACCCTGTACTTTCCCTTGTTTGGTCTCCTCCAAGAGAACGTCAACAGGCTGAATGTGAAGGAAGTCTCCCCATTCACCAACAGCCACTCCAACAATGTAAGGGAGCCACCTAGTGGCGTCTTTTTAATATTCCATCTACCTTTCATTCACAAGATAAATGAAGAGAGACATGAAAACATCACGCAATCCTACCTCCTGACATCCATACCCAAACCCAAACAAATATAAAATACACAAAGAGAAGGAAAAACATAGTCATAACATAAAACGTGAAAAATATAGAGCCATACATATATTCATTTGTTTTCTAGCTGCATCATATATAATTTTCTTAAAATGTTTTCAGCCAAGACTTAAACCTAGTGGTTTTCCTTACGTACGTACCTCATATAGTATGTGAGTCTGTGTCCATTATACTGTTGTTTTTCCTCAGAATGGAAGAGAAGATTCACTTCATACCAACGTATTGATGACACCTCCCAGATCCAGCACCTTTCTGGACACCAGCTTGCACAAAGATGTTTTTGGAGTCATCTCTGGCACCTGTGAGTGGACAGACGATGCTGGGAAATGGAAAACATGTATAACATTTGGGTTTTACATTAATATAAAACTGCTCCTTTTTGTTTTTGGCAGCTTCACCTCACACGTCGTCAACCCCCAACATCAACTCCGTGCGCCACGCAGACTCCCGCGGCTCACTCATCAGCACTGATTCTGGCAACAGCCTGTCCGAGAAGCACAACGACAAGGGCAACTCTCTGGACAAGGTACATCTCAGAAATTGCCGCAAGATGCCCGTAAAGTAATTTCATACAACGTGTCAGATATCAAATTTAGGCTTCCTGTGACATGCATTTTTAGTGTGCCCCCGGACATATCAGAGATCCCTTGTTGTGACAAAAGCACCTCAGAAAGTCACCCCTTGTTAACTTGTCCCATTAACTTCCCCACCTTATGTGTGCGGCTGTCCGCGGCAGACGGGGAAGTTTGTATGGAGACACTCTGTCAATGTCCTGCGCTACTTTACGGAGACTGAGGAGTCCATGCTCTCCGTGCGCACCAAGCGTGTCACCACGGACTTCTCCCTACTCTCTGTCCCCTGTGTGCCAGAGAGCGCCCTGCAGCCCAACATTTCACTTCAAGTACAAAGCACCCCTCATCCTCCTCCCTAGGAGTGTCCCATCTGGGAATGTTAGTGTGTGTGTGGGAGTTTCCTAGTGTCCTAAACCCTAAGCCCTTTCTTTGCCAGATGATTCTAAGGCTTTGACCTGTTTGTACTCTAGGGTAAAGCAGAGCTGCTGTACCACAGGGCCTCAAGGGGTTTGTCTCTGCTCTTTTTCCAGATGTTTAGAAGCATGCACGCTTAAGGGATTTTGTCACTTTTGAGTTCTTCTCACGTGTGCTGTGTCATTTCTGCTTTCACTGATAGACAGCCTCAAGCTAAATTTAAGTCCATTAAACACTAATTATTTGATTTTCACTATCTGTGCTGTGTTGCATTTTCTGTTGAAGCTGTTCGTGGTAACTTTTATCACAATGTGTGTAACAGCATAAAGGGAAAAGAGGGACACTCATAAGTAATTTGAAATTACTATCAACCCAAACTGCTTTAGCTCAAACAAGTACTTGAAAATAACTGCACCACAGCTTTTGTCCACCTTTTCAGGAAAACTAACTTTAGCCATCCACTCCCCAAAGCACTCGTTAAAAGGCCAAAGCCATAGCCTCATACTTTCCATGAAGTCATCCCCAGCTAGTTTCATGGTCTAGACTAACTGCTGGCAAGGGAACGTGCTTGGTACATCGCCATCCCCTCCATGTGGTAGAGCTGTTGCTCCACTGGTTTGGTTCTCTCTTCTCCCTGCTCTCTGCCTCAGCTGGAGAAATGGTGTTTGTTTTCCGTTGGCAGTTCTTCCACAGTAAAAAGAGCCCTGCAACATCAAGAGAGAATGACTCCACTAGTGTAGCTTGACGACTGTAACCCCAGGCCTTCAGAAAACTCTTATTACTCATGTCATAACATCTTTAAAAGCCCCTGTGTATAGTTTTGACTACTTTTAATGTCTAATGCAATACAGGTCGAAGACTCAGTTGTCTAGACTTTGAACTATGACCACAAAACTAGATGTAAAGTGTACAAAAAAATCTTTGTATTTTGTAATTTCTATGGAAAATACACTTTGTCTTTTGGAAATACAAAATATAAACTGACAATGGTTTCTGTAGACAGTACTTGTGGTTTATCTTGATGCAGCAAAAGGAGCGAGACAGAGCAAAGAGCCATCCAGGATAATATATTTGTCTGTCCTCTGCCTGACCAGATACTTTGTCCCTCAGAACCAGGCTGCTTCAACCCTGGGCAGTACCCTGCTGCGATGTGATAAACTGGACCAGTCAGAGATCAAGAGCCTCCTCATGTGCTTCTTACATGTGCTCAAAAGCATGTCTGAAGGTAACATGTCACTCCATCTCGCTCCTGAATATCTGTGCTCACCATCTTTCTGTCTCGATGCATAAACACTGAGCTCACTTACATGTCTACAATGTCAATCTGTCTTTTTTCCAGATGCTCTGTTCACATACTGGAACAAGGCTTCATCTGCTGAGTTAATGGACTTCTTCACTCTTGTCGAGTAAGATGCCTTACGTTGCTTTCATGACAACCTCGACACTGCAAGTAAAGCATTAGATTTGATTGTGACTGATGTTCACTTCCTTGTTCCTCACAGAGTGTGCCTCCATCAGTTCAGATACATGGGAAAGAGATACATCGCAAGGTAATGTTGTTGTCAGTGTCTGAAAGCATTGCATGACCTTCAATTCTCTTAAAAGTTTTTAAATCTGAACAATGATTGAGTTGAGTTCTTGATAAAGGATTGCAGGCTTTACGTACAGTTGCTCCTGTGTTTAGGTCGGTTTGGTCAAGTTTGCATTCGTACTACTGCCACTTGGAGTAACAGAAGCTCCACCTTTCAACCATGTATCCATTAGCTTATCCATTAGCTAACTATGAACTACTACTTTCAGCGGTTTCATCATTTATTCATTAGTTTTAGCTAAATATTTCGACTCTGTATCCAGTCCTTTGGCTATTTTATCAGTTTATCCATTACTTTTAGCCAATCCTTTTATCTACTTCGCTAAATATTTCAACGGTTTTAATTACTTTTAGTTTTCCAATCAAACCACTTATCAGTTACTTTAAAGTAACCATTTTAACTTTGTATCCATTACTTTTCCACTCCACCACTCTAAATGACAACATGTGGTGTCTTAATGGTGACTCAATTGTTATGTATTTTTTAGATTATTTTGTATTTTCTGTTATTTCCAATACATTTAGCTACTCTACAATCTGTCCATGGACCATCTGGCACCTGCAGAAATAGTCCCTGAGGTACAAATAACCTTGGTTGGGAACCACTGTTCTAGCAGATAGATATCTGACTATTATGAGAAGACAAAATACATTTCCTGGAGTACATTATTGAATATTAAACGTCATAACATAATGACAATGATGTAGCTACTTATCGTCTTCATTTTAGATCATCCAGTGTAAGACAGCATTGCTAATGTGTGTGACGGTTGAAAGGGTGTGAATGTATGTTGAGCACAATTATGTGACGAGTATTTATCCGAACACACTTACTGTAGCTCTGGCCTGGACTCCCAGAGGGCTTTGGGTGTTCACTCTCTCTAACCTCCCACCACTTTTCCTATCTCTATTCACCTAAATGCTGGCAAGTTTAACAAAATGAAATAAAACCCTGGCTCCTGCCCTCTCCTGCTTGGGTAAGACTGAAGGTGGAACTGACTTTCTCAGACTTAACGCATGATATCTTCTCACCCTATAGAAGTTGCAGTGCTGTGACACAACCACTGGCTCTAAATTCATATAGCATCTCTCTCTTCTTAAGTGCATGACGTTTGCTTTCACTCACTGCTTTAAAGCTGCTTCTGCAATTATGTAATTGAACTGCATGCAAAATCTACAGCACGACTTTATTGGATACATGCTTCAGTTGGTATATGTGTAAAAGTCACCCAAAATGTTACGTTTTACTACGATACATTTAAAATCAAACAAGATATTTAAGTAGATGTTATGAACCACGGTTTGAATACAAGCACATCTGCTTTTGCTCTCAGGACATTTGAGTGATATTTACACCACTCAAGTGTGCAGAATGGTGTGTCGTTCACCCTAACCTGCTTCGCTAACCTGCCATTCGTCTAACATTGACCTGTTTCCTAAACAGGAACCAGGATGGGGCAGGACCCGTAGCACATGAGCGGAAGTCTCAGACTCTGCCTGTGTCCCGTAACAGGGCGGGAATGATGCATGCCCGCTTACAGCAGCTCAGCAGCCTGGATAACTCATACACTTTTAACCACAGTAAGTGCCCCATACTTTTCATCAAACAGCCTTTTACCAGAGGATACCCGCCCTCCTCCGCCTCACTCTGTATAGTCTCCTCATACTTTTTCACCATCATCAACATCCCCCTCATACTCTGTTTAAACCCAGCCCGCAAGACATGCGTGCAGCATCAGTAAATTAGATTGAATTGGTGCGAAGGTATTTGTGTTTAGCGTTATATTGCTTTTACCTAAAGGGCTTAATAAGCTATTTGCTCAGCCTGTCAAATGGCGTCATTTAACTCAGTTTCTTTGTGTTTTCAGTGTAAGAAAGATTTCAAGTATTCTTGGAATATCTGTAGACCATGGTAAGAATGTATCAGGATAGCAGGACGTTTGCAGACTGTTACTGACTTTGTTCATTTGGTTAAAATTAAGAGCATGCCCATTTTAACTGAACACTAGCTTTCTTTCCATACCTATGGCCAGCTCATCTACTCTGAACTTCATTTCATTCTCTGAAAAACAAAATCAATGTGAAATATATAGAGGTTTCATTCCAAAACACTACCTGTATATTTGAGAAAGCAAATGCTGCTTGAAATTAATTCATAAATATAAAAAAACTCAAATGTTGGCTCAATTTGTTAACAACATTTGTGCCTCACCAATGCACTATTCATTTGATAAACGGTATTGATTTTGTTCGTAGTAAGATTGTTTCAGTTTGGAATGAAATTGTCCAGCTTTGCCTTTAACACTAAGGTCTCATATTTCAAGAGATATGATGTTGAAATGGTCGTCCTGTGCACCGGTGGGGGTGAAACAGCTTCAGCTTTCTCTTGTGTATTCTTTAGCCTATAGTCACTCGGATGCAGATGTGTTGAATCTGTCTCTGCTGGAGGCAAACATCGCTACTGAAGTGTGCCTGACCGTCCTGGACACGCTGAGTATCTTCATCATGGGATTCAAGGTAACATAAATAGCATAGTACTTGGCACACATTGACTGTACTAGTGAACTTTGCATTGGCACCATTTTTCTTTAAATGCAGTATTTAGGTTTTAATCAGTTATTCTTCATAAAAAAAGCTGAATGTGAATCTTGTTTCTGTGTTTTAAATCAGATTTCGTCCGTTTTTTAAAGATAATCGTCTGTTTTCTCCACAGACCCAGCTGTGCTCTGACCACGGCCACAGTCCACTAATGAAGAAGGTGTTTGAAGTCCACCTCTGTTTCCTACGGATCAATCAGTCAGAGACGGCCCTCAAGCAGGTCTTCACTTCACTGCGCACCTTCATCTACAAGGTGTGAAGGACGTCTGTTTACCCACCTAACAGTTCTCTGTTGTTGCTTGTGATTGTCGAAAGCGTTCCCTGATGACCTGTCTCTCTTCTTCACCCTCCAGTTTCCTTGCACATTTTTTGAAGGGCGTTCTGACATGTGTGCTGCTTTCTGCTATGAGATCTTGAAGTGTTGTAACTCCAAGCTGAGCTCCATTCGCAGCGATGCAGCCCATCTGCTCTACTTCCTCATGAAGAGCAACTTTGACTACACAGGTCGCAAGTCTTTTGTCCGGACGCACTTACAGGTGGGATAGTCCTTCTGTAGATCTAACTTATTAAAACAATTAAAGCTCTCATGTTTACATTATTTGAACTTAATGTCCTTAAGACCCTGGACCTTGTTTAATTAGCTTTATACTTCATGATCTTTCTTAATGTTGTGAGAAATGCTTATGAACAGAATTTTAAAGAGATGCCATGTTACAGAGTTCTAGCACAGAAAATGATGCATAACTTCTAACTGTTTGGGGTCCTAACTGTAAAATATGGTTGAATGCAATGCATTTTTATATTCTCTGTAACTGTGTTTGATGTTAACAGTAGCACTACCATATCCTAAATGAGCTTTGAAATGATTTATTTCACTATTTTATTGTTATTTTGTGACATACAATTTTTTTTTTGTACTTTCATTCAATTTTTATGCCCATTTTGTGGCAAATGGAACTGTTAACTAATTGGTTTATTTTAATTTTGATCATTACTGTATTTACACATACAGTTTTACGGTCTGTGGGACCTCAAACAATGATGACGTAACGCCAGCAAGGCTTATACAATATTTAATGATAATAATTAATAATAATATGTTTCTTTCTCTATTTTTAGGTGGTGATTGCTGTCAGTCAATTGATAGCTGATGTGATTGGTATTGGAAGTACCCGCTTCCAGCAGTCTCTGTCAATAATCAACAACTGTGCCAACAGTGACAAAACTATTAAGGTCAGCAATTAATTGATGTGCATGATGGTTCCACTTTAACAGTTAAAAGTATATATGCTTAAACTAGCAATAACATGACTGACTGCTCTCATCTCTGCATCCTCCTTAACAGAACACAGCCTTCCCATCAGATGTGAAGGACCTGACCAAACGCATCAGGACAGTTTTGATGGCCACGGCTCAGATGAAAGAGCACGAGAGAGATCCAGAGATGCTGGTGGACCTGCAGTACAGCCTCGCCAAGTCTTACGCCAGCACGCCTGAACTACGCAAGACCTGGCTGGACAGCATGGCCCGAATCCATGTGAAGAACGGAGACCTGTCAGAGGTCTGTGATAAGGGAGTCTCTGTGGCTGAATAGGTTGGACTTTGGTATGATAGTGGCCAATTGAACATGTGATGGACTCACTTTAGGTCTGTGTGTGGTGATGTGTCTATACAGTATAAAATATCTCATTTGTTTTGTCCAGTTTATTGCGGGTGATGCTGTCCTGTAAAATAATTAATAATTTCAACATCACTTTGCATATCTGACCTGAGTTGTTGTTCACAGGCGGCCATGTGCTATGTGCACGTTGCAGCGCTTGTGGCAGAATACCTGCGGAGAAAAGGTGCTGCGATCATTTATTTTCACTTGCATGCCACACGACATCGCTATTGTGTATGTTCAGTGTAATCTTTCTTGTTTTTGTTTGCCTAATGTGGCCGATTGTTATTATATTGTCTCATCTTGTTCTGTGCTCAGGCATGTTCAAGCAGGGATGCTCAGCGTTCCGTGTCGTGACTCCAAACATTGATGAAGAGGCGGCGATGATGGAGGACGTTGGCATGCAGGACGTCCATTTCAATGAAGTATGTGACTGTGCTAATGACCGTGCTAAGATTTGAACAAGTTAGCAAGAAGTCAGTCTGTGGTCTGACCACATCATTAGTTTTAATTGATTACATTTAGATTTTCAAAGAGTTTTGTATTTTAATAGAGACTAGCTCCTGCACCCGCTGAGGTTGAATGCACTTTTTGTGAGTTGCTTTAAACAGAAGCATCTACCAAAATGAATGTAATGTAATGTTAATGAATTGTACCAAGGCATATATAATTATAATCATCTGTTGCAGGAAGACAAAACATTTAACATCTTATTTTAAGCTCTCCAATATTCCAGTTTTTAAATATTGAATAATCAAATGTGTAACATAATTAAGATTATCATTATTTCAATATTATGACCACGAAAGAGGTAGCGTGAGACACACTTATACGTTATAAAAATAAATACTATCTTAAAGAAGGCAATTTTTGCGGATGTCTACCTGCATTTCCCAGCACACTAGGATACATGTAGATGTGTAGAAGAGGTGTCGATTTATCGAATACTGATCTATTTTTCTCCATCTCCTGTTACCCTGCAGGACGTCTTAATGGAGCTTTTGGAGGAGTGTGCAGATGGACTGTGGAAAGCTGAGCGCTACGAACTCATCTGTGACATCTACAAGCTCATAATCCCCATTTATGAGAAGCGCAGGGACTTTGAGGTACGTTCAACTTCTTTTATCTCCCTCCAACAAGTCCATCTAATTTAACCCAAGTGTTGACATTAGTATCTACAAATACTAACCAGATTTGAAATGTTATTTTTATGAATTTGCACAGAAACTGGCCCACCTGTATGACACACTGCATCGTGCATACAGTAAAGTGACAGAGGTCATGCACACAGGAAAGAGATTGCTGGGCACCTACTTCAGAGTGGCCTTCTTTGGCCAGGTGAGTTTATTTTTATTTTTTCAAAACAAACATATTGTTTATTTGATTATTTTTTGCACTAACTGTATTTAAAATGATATAATTTCACAAAAGAGCAAAAGTATTAATTTGTTTGCTGAATATTGAAAAAGTAATTCGCACTAAGCATGAGGGCTGCTGAAGATGTTTTAATTTTATTTTTAAGAGCATGACCACATGCAGTGGCATTCTCTGATCCACTCTAATACCCTTCTCTGCTTTCTGTCCTCTTTGAAGGCAGCGGTAAGTTGTGCAGTAGACCTTGCTAGCCTTTCTGGGCAGCATACGTCTTTGTGTGGTGTTGGTGCTGCTTGTCCTTCACGTCACCACTGCTTTTTACTCTTTTTCGAACTGTGTTGCATGGCGCTCTTTCACTTTTGCTCTCATTCCAGTGTTTCTGCTTTTGTGTTACAGATCTGACTTTATAAGATTTAGTACTGACCCTCATTTTTGTCGTATCGTGTGAAATAATTTGTTGCGTGTGGTTACCTCTGCTTGTGTGCTTTAATAGAGATAAACGCATCCATGTCTCTTCCGACATGGTGGTCTAATCACTGATGCAGTAGTATGAATTAGAGTGTGTTGATTTCATTCAGGTTTTAGGTAGTTCTCGTGGAATAACAATGATTTTATTTTCTGCTGGCCACACCCCTGTAGCAGTACCACTTTACAGACTCAGAGGCTGAGGTAAATCAATAGGAAAGCCAACATTGCAGTTGGACTGCAGTGATGTGTTAGGCAGTGTTGTGCTCCTTCTCTAATGCAATCGATGCTTTTTCAAGTGCATTGCTCATTTTTTAGCCGTAGAGTCGTCCTAATCTTAGTAGTAAACCCTTGATGTGCATGGCTTCACCCATCTGTTCATGGGACTTTTGACCATTTACCTACAAGACAACTGACTAATCTAAGTACCCCAACTGACAGTGTGAAGTCTGTGCTCCCACCTGTGTCCTTTGGTCCGTCTTACATTATTGAACTGACACTGACACACAAACTGACTTCTTTTCTTTCAGTCTCTGTGCTTGGTCATTAGATATAGAGGGTTGTGTATTTGTGGAATCTGCTTTCAGCCCAGCTGGGAATTAAAGAGTATTTTACCATTTTCATTTCAACAAATTGTTGTAAACCCTTCCACTCACATCCCATGTATGGTTCGATGTGGTACTGTTTGCTTCTTTATATCTTATTCGATAAAGATGCTGTTTGTTTGTTATTCATTCTGACCATGTGTTATCTGTCTTTAGGGCTTCTTTGAAGATGAAGACGGTAAGGAGTACATCTACAAAGAACCAAAATTCACTCCTCTGTCAGAGATATCTCAGAGGCTCCTTAAGCTGTACTCTGACAAGTTTGGACAGGAGAATGTGAAGATAATCCAGGACTCTGGAAGGGTAAGACTTTATGGATATTTAATTTGTGATGAGCGTTGACCCATAATTCTCATAAAATATGTCACTAATCTGTACTAATGACTTTCTGCAGATTAACCCCAAAGACCTGGACTCTAAGTATGCGTACATCCAAGTTACACATGTGACCCCTTACCTGGAGGAGAAGGAGCTGGTGGACAGGAAGACAGACTTCGAGAAGAGCCACAACATCCGTCGCTTCGTGTTTGAGATGCCTTTCACCATATCGGGCAAAAAGCAAGGCGGGGTGGAGGAGCAGTGCAAACGCAGGACTATACTAACCAGTAGGTAGCTCTATATATACTGTTAGTGGTAGTGGCACATATGCTGTTAAAGGCGTACTATTAGTCTTTAGTAGCTAGCTGATACTGAGTTAATATAGATGTTTTAGAAAGTTCCTACAGAGCCACAGAACACATTACACAAATGTTATCACAGGCTGAGCAGCTCTCATCATCACTTATAAACTGATCTCGATGTGTAAAGGAACAGACATGTAAATAATCTAGATGGTGTCTTCTGCATCGAATGATCCTAAATAATCTAAAAAGTGCTACATGTTTCCCAATCCTCACAAACTTTACACCACTGTCTCCCCTAATTTGGATATTGACACATTTGATAAATGCACTATGTGGAAGGCTGTCACATGGGTATCAGTTGTTGAGGCATTACATGACTCAGCAGAAAGGTCCTGTGCATAAATGGAAGATCTTGATTAGATTCTGAACGTGTAAACTGTTTGTCAAGGGCCTTTCCTAATCCTAATCACAGTTATATTGTTTTGTGGTGTAAAAGATCCAAAGGTTCAACCTTGCATTCTTATCTTTATTATCTGAGAGCTTTGAAAAGATGCACGGTACACATGTGAGTGGCTCCTGAGCTGTAAAACTCAGAAAAGCACATGCAAGGAGAAAATAATTCATAAACTAAGAGGCCAGCTGTTCACCCTCCTCCTCTTCATGTTTCTGTCCCCCAGCCACACATTGTTTCCCCTACGTAAAGAAACGTATCGCAGTGATGTATCAACACCACACTGATCTGAGCCCCATCGAGGTGGCCATCGATGAGATGAGCAAGAAGGTGGCCGAGATCAAACAGCTTTGCTCCTCCAGTGAGGTGGACATGATCCGTCTGCAGCTCAAACTACAGGGCAGCATCAGCGTCCAGGTTCCTGCTTTGAATTTTGCAAAAACATATACACACATACACCCACTCCCATACCTAATGAAATGATCACAGACATGACACGACTCCTACGTCTTCCCTCAGGTAAATGCAGGACCACTAGCATACGCTCGAGCTTTTCTGGACGATGCGAGCGCCAAGAAGAATCCTGATAACAAGGTCAAACAGCTGAAAGAGGTCTTCAGGTGAGATGAGCTGTCGATAGCTTACAATGTGTGTACTAATCTATTTTTGTGTAATTCTCCTTTAATACGTCTTAACGCTTTGCTTTTTGAGCAGGCATTTTGTGGAGGCATGTGGCCACGGTTTAGGTATCAATGAGCGACTGATCAAAGAGGACCAACAGGAGTATCACGATGAGATGAAAGCCAACTATAGAGACCTAGCGAAAGAGCTGTCCATCATCATGCATGAGCAAGTGAGTATCAGTGTAATTACATTCTGCATTACTAATGTTACAACGGTAATCTGCTGAGACGTGTTTTTGCCTGTGTGCGTGCCATTAAGTAACTGATAACGATTGATAACATGCTCTTTGATAACACCATTCTCTGTTTCTCCCTTGTGCTGACATGAACAGATTGGATGGTAATGCAAAAACCACCAGTATGTACTAAAGACTGAGTTGTTAATTGTTGATCCAGCCAGACAAAAAACATCTGTCCTCAGATATTAGCCAAAATGTTATTGCTTTAAGATTGTCAAACCGTTACAACCCTGATGTTACAGGGATACATGCAGGAAACAGGAAGCTGCTAAAGCTAAGGTCCATCTCTTGACCTTAAAATAGATTGGCAAAGTTAACTGATCGTATCACAGGCGGGCCTTATCTTTATATCTATTGCAAAACGTAAAACCCAACTGTTCTCCCTCTACACTGGATGCAGCGGCTGTCTAGACCAACAATCACTAATCTCTTTTAGATTGCTGACATGTATTTTTTCTGCATGTGTGTAAAGTATGTATGCATGTACATATACGTTTGTATGTGTATTTGTATTCACATGCATCTGAATGTGTGTGCTTATGTATTTACATGTTTCTGTATGTGCTTACATACACAAATATTTCTTATACTTTGAAGGATTTCTTTTGTTGATGTTACAAGGATTGGTTGTTTTTACTTATTTTTTTCTGTATCTAATCTTCATAAAAGGGGTTCTGAGACTCCACCTTAAAAGTTTGACGTTTTGATTTGCTTTCTTGCTGAGAGTTATATGTGATGATTGATACTACTCTCATTTCTGTATGGTAAATACACATCTAGAGACAGTACAGAAAGGAGATGGTGCACTGAGAGTCAGTTTCTTGTTTCGTCCCATAGTCACCAAAGTACACATTGGACCCATTTTTCACAACACACACATCTTCTGAACAGTCTGACATTTTGATCTCATTTTTCAGAGAGATAAATCAGGAGGACAATTAACTTTGTTCGAGACGCTTTCTCTGTCTCCTCCACAGACTCTCAGGAGATTTGGCAACTAACATACATGAAAACCCGAGCTAACACATTTTCGTAAAGCTTAATATGGTTGTTAGCTGTGTAAATGTAATGTGTACGTAAATGCAAATAGTGGGAAAACTATTTGCCAGACCGAGACAGCCAAGCTTTCAAGTTTCCACCTGTTTCCAGATTGTATGCTAAGCTAAGCTAACCTGCTGCTGGCTGTAGCTTCATATTAACTGCACATTAACTTCTCATGTGTGTGGTATCGATCTTCTCATTTAACTCTCAGCAAGAAAAAGTAAAACTATCCCTATAAATAAGGGCTTCACTTGGCAGTAATTAGGGTACTAAGCAATCCAAGATGGTATCATAAATAGTTGTGAATATCTCATTCTTCTTCACTTCCAGATCAGTCCTGTGGAAGATGGCATGAAGAGCGTTCTCCCAGACTCGCTTCAAATCTTTAACGCCATCAGCGGCACGCCAACCAGTGCCACTATCCACGGCATCCCCAGCTCTTCCTCTGTGGTATGATGCCGGCAGGGGTTAGCCTTGAACTTGGCGCCCTCTACACTCGCCAACCAGGCATGCCGGTGACGCCATATTGTCGCCAATAAACCCGATCCTCCTTCTCTTCAGTCAGCTCAAAGGGAAACTGACAAAAGCACAGACAACTCTGACCACCTCTCACCTTTCTCAGTGAACAATGACCCAGGCACTGGACCTATTTAATGATTACACGGCATGGTAACTGTGCTGGATGTCTGTGACAGAGGAGGATCTGAGGAGGATCCTGGGACCAGAGAGTGGATCATGCAGGAGAGATGAGAGACGTTGCAGACTTTGGACAGACATAATGCTTCACCTGTTTCTACCTGAAAAGACTGGTTTTCCATGGACACTCCTCTTGTGATCTTTAATATGCATGTCATTACATTACAGCCACCACCTTCCCAACAGCCCATTTTTGTTTATTTTGATAATGTTTCACATTGTGTTTTTGTATGTACAGTATTCCACTTTTATAAGCCACTGTATTGATGTGTCGATGAACAGTATATGCTGCAAACGTTGACGCTCGTCTCCCTGTACATGAAGTTATATTTCTACTAAATGGCGTCCTATGACTCATGTTAGCATTCAACCTTAAATCACTTCAATGTCTTAGAATGGGAGCGTTTTTAAATATTTAAAGCCATTGCTTACAAAAAATATATTCCAAGTTGTTTATTAATGTATATAAAATGAGGAGTGTGTGCAATATTTGCAAAGTATCTTGCTGTATGGGGCTCATACACTGTAAAGAGGATGTTGACCTTCTTGCCAAAGCGATGAGGTGTCGAACCAAACACTACGCCGACTGTGGATTTAATATAAAGCTTTTACCATTTTAGTGTTCATTATAATTGTTTTATATTTGGGCAGCAAGGTATTTTTTTTTTAATTTAACACAAAGTCACTGTTCTGCTGTAAACAGAGATGTTCCCTAATGCTTATCTTTTAAATAAAACACACTAATTTCTCTGCACTTTTACTCATGAATCCTTATTTTCATTCCACATTTATTAAAGTTTATTCTTGTGTTTATTCTTACAATTAGTTTGGTTGTGGAGTTCTCTGAAATTAATACTTTTTATGAGGTGTCTGGGACTGAACATAGCTGACTCTGTATCTCCTATATCTCATGTTCCCACCCATCATAAAAGCAACACGGTCAGCAGTGGGGACGACAGATCAAGGTGCTAATAAGAAGCAATATTACGGAAACACTCCTCGAGTGAAGGATCAATTATCAACTGCTCCCTGCAGGAATCTCAAAGGAATATCAAACTACAGTAGAAGTCAAGCAGCAGCTTCACTCAAACAGTATGACCGGTGAGTTGGCAAACATTTGCTTTTTATCTGTTCTCATTTAAATCAGAAGCAAATATTCCAGTGCAGAAAGTGCAGACGCCTGAAAGACAAGTCAGACCAGACATTGGGAGAAAGATATTTGTTTTTAAATGGAGGTAGTCTGTGGGCAACTGCCTTTCTCTCTATTTATGAAATGGAGCCAGTTATTTAAACTGAAATTGTCATGTGCGCAGATAACGAGGATCCCAAGAAACGGAAGGAGAGCAAAGGGACGGTAATGCACTTAATTAATTTGATTCATTGAACGTTCATGCAGTCAGTTTTTGATTTATAATTGTTCATTGAGACTCCATAGGGATAACAAAGCAACCATCTCAATATGCCCTTCACTGTATTACTGCTATAAGTTACTGAATACCAAGCACTACTGAGGGCAAATTTCTTAGGTTGTTGTATTTTATTTGAGTTTTTCCATTGAATGCTACTTTATACCTGCACTTTTTACTCCGCTGTATTTATTTCACATGTATTTTCTTAAACTAATAAAATATGCTCCACCTGATGTTGATCCGATAATGTAATAGAACACGGACAGGGACCATTCTGCTTAATGAGCTTCATTTTGATACTCAAAGTACATTTTGTTGCCTGCGATATGATCTAAAATCTGCCTCCACTGCTGCTGAACACCACGCTGATGCTTTTTTTGATCCATCAGAGCAAAGAGTTGTGCGGTTACCCGCTCAGCATCTTCTTCATAGTTGTGAATGAGTTCTGCGAGAGGTTCTCCTACTATGGCATGCGAGGTGAGAACACTGAGTTGTGTAACATTGACCATGTGATTATTTTTGTAACCATGATGATAAAACCACATCATTAAACTCATTTATTTATTGACAGTGATGGTTTTGGAAAAAAAACAGATGATGATATACTGTCAAATAAGAAGAAGCTTACGTTTTCTCTGCCTGTTCACAGCGGTCCTGGTGCTGTATTTCAAGTACTTCTTGCGCTGGGACGATGACTTGGCCACCTCCATCTACCACGTCTTTGTGGCTCTCTGCTACCTGACCCCCATCCTTGGGGCCATTGTGGCTGACTCCTGGCTGGGGAAGTTCAAGTGAGTTTAATTATTTTGTCATTAAACGTGTGCAAGTAGTTAGAGGGTGATTATCTCTCAGTGGTGAAAAGTAACAAGAAGGCCTACTGTACTTAAAGTTACTACGAGGAACTTTTGATTGTTTGTGACACACTCTCAATTAATTACTGATGCCTCTGTATGACCTACATACGTGAACAAGACCACCAGCGGGAAGACTGGCTATTTTTATATAGTTGCCTGCTGCTCAGCTGGTCCCTGCTGAGAGCCAACACCAAGCTGCTGGAAGCCGAGGCAGTATTGTTGAGTCCACTGCAAGGGAGGGAGGTACAGGAGAACCAGAATCAGGGCTGAGCGGGGCAGACTGTCAGACCGTGCTGTAGTAAAATGGGAGGTTATCTAAAGGAAATCTGGTGCAAGGAAACACTACCATTTTTTTTCCACAGGGACCGCCAAAATCAACACAAAAATGAAAGTTCCTTGTAGTGGCCTTGTAGGAATTGGAGTAGTATATCCCTTTTTTTAAATTCGGAAGGAAATGTTTCTACTCAACTACATTTGTACAGATAGTTAATCTTTACTTTTTAGATTCATATTTGAGATTAAAAGACATATGATAAGAAACAATTCTCTCCTTCACAGTAGTTATTACACTGCTGCTATCTCTTTCCTTCTTCACCTTACAGGACTATCATCTACTTGTCCGTCGTCTATGCGATCGGCCAGGTTACGATGGCTGTCAGCGCAATCCATGACATCACTGACACGGACAGAGATGGGACACCAGACAACATTACCTTTCATGTGTGGGTTTCTGTTTTACTAGCCAAATAATTGAGTTGTGAGCTTTCGGCAGGCAGTTTGCATCACGTATTTCGACAGACTCATGCACATGTTCCTCTTCACATTTAGCGTGTTGTCCATGGTGGGTCTCTTCCTCATCGCTTTGGGCACTGGTGGCATCAAACCTTGTGTTGCTGCCTTTGGTGGAGACCAATTCGGTGATCATCAGGTTAGAACAGTCTTCTTCTTCTATAATGTTTAAGCTTTGGTTGTGACAATGACATTGTTCTTTATCGCATGTCATCCATCTTTTCTCTCCCCTTATTCCTGTCTCCTCTCTACTATCCACTCTCAAAACATAGTCCCCTAAATAGCTATAACAACACTAAGAGTCTACAGCAATGCTGAGAGGCTGTTCTTTGGCACAGCAGAAGGAATTAATTTAGACATAAACCAAAGTATTTGGTAAATTAGATTTCATGATGGCACTAGATGAAAAGTTAAAGGAGACCTCCACCAATTTTACACATCAAAGTTAGTTCACAGGTGTTGGAGACTACTACTGCAAGTGAATAACAGTTGTAAATGCCTCAAGTGATGTCACTTGAGTCAAAGTCGGTTGGGTCGGAAGACTAAAAGTATGAAAACTACAAAAATCTGGGGGAGTCGAGTTAGAAAGAACTGAGCTTACCAGATCTGTAGTGTGTTCGCTATACCTTAATGAATTGAGCTTGATCGCCTTTGTAATGGAGATTTCATACCCCTTCGGTCTTCCCCTGTCTAAGTGGGTAAAGGACCCAACTTAGTGGCTGGATATTACATGTTATCTATACATGTTTAATTGAATCACTAGGTATTGTTAGGCTAAATGTTGTCTGTCAATTGTTTGATCCAGGCTAGGCTGAGATTTCGTTGTAGACGACAGTTTGATGCTTTGACTGCACTGCAGCAGCCTCCCACTCAAGCTATCTATCCATAGTAACTCACCAGCATCATTCAGCAATTTACCAAACTGACAGTGAAAATTCCCGCATCATGTGCCTCATATAAGATCTGGATTCTTCTGGTAATTAGTTTGCATGCTTTTTGGCATTGTCCTGTTTCTCTCCTTATCTGCAATTCTTTCCCCCAAAAGGGGGCACGGCCTTGGTAATTGGCGCTTGATGAAACAATGCCTGTCATGTGTATCTCTGTTTGAGGCTACTGGTTCGGGGATGCAAGCATAATACAGCACAATACAGCCAAATCTCCGACTAAAATGTTGACAGTCAAGGTGCATTGTGAGTAAAGCAGGCGCCAGGTTTTGACAAGGAAGTTACTGCTACTTGATACTTTTTCAAGTACCAAAATTGGAAAATAATCAGCAAATTGGCTATTATACGTTCAAACTGTCCATCTGGAATCTAACAATGCTAATTCAGTGGAGTATTCCTTTAAAGTTTAAAGGAATCAAAGTTACTACAGGGGCACATGGATGAGTGTACTAAATTCATCGCAATCCATTCAAAATTTGTCAAGACATTTCACTCAAGATCACACCTCAACTCATGGTGGCACCAGAGGAAAAATCAGCAAATCACCTTTAGTGTTCATCCTCTGGAGACCATCACTGTATGTACACATTTCTGTGATAAACAATATTACTTCGAGGAGTTTTTTTTTTTTACTTTAGTCTTGACCAAAGTGGTGGGCTGACGCACTGACATTGCTATCCTTGTGTCGCAAAACTTTGGTTGTATCACTTAATATAATAAACAAAGATATCAATCAGTTTCAAATTGGTTACACATTATATTCAGCATTGCACAACATGCATGCAACAGAAGGTAGAAGTTCACTGACTGTATTTCTCTGTGCAGGAAAAGCAAAGGAGAACGTTCTTCTCTGTGTTCTACCTTTGCATCAATGGTGGGAGTCTCCTGTCAACCATTATCACTCCAATCCTGAGAGGTACATGTGAACAGGACATAAGGTCTATGACAAACCATGCCATAAGCATGAGCGCACACGTAATAACAGTCCTTGAGTATGAGTCAAATCTGAATTGTAATGACAGTTGTTTGTCCCAATCTGCAGCTCAGAGCTGTGGCATCTACAGTCAGCAGAAGTGTTATTCCCTGGCCTTCGGCGTTCCTGCAGCACTAATGATGGTTGCACTTGGTATGTCTAAATAATTTGGAGAATATAAAGCAGAAATGTAAAGATTTGGTACATATTACTGTGCACTGATAATGATGTTGTGTCTGTGATGCCCCTTACAGTGGTGTTTATCATTGGTAGCGGTATGTACTACAAAGCTGAACCACAGGGAAACATCATGCTTGATGTGTGTAAATGTATTGGGGTGAGTCTGGTTTACACCATTTGCATCAACACATTCCGTATTAACAACAGTTGATCGAGGTGTTTCTAAAAACATATTTTATCCTTAACATTCTTCTTCAGTTTGCCATTAAGAACCGCTACAAGCACATAAGCAGTCAATACCCAAAGAAGCAGCACTGGATGGACTGGGCTGAAGATAAATATACTGTACGTTTCACGTTACTTAATTCTCTAAAGTTTCTAACAAGCTGCTTCATCAGTGGAATGACAGCAGTTGATTTTCCCTCTGTCTGTGCTGTAGAAACTCCTCATTGCTCAAATCAAAATGGTGCTGAGGGTCCTCTTTTTATACATCCCACTCCCGATGTTCTGGACCCTGTTTGACCAAAAGGTATTGAAAAGTTACCCGTACCTTAGAAATGCAACATCACTGGCTGACAGTGGAAGCTGTGCTTTACTCTGCATCTCTATTAAAGGGTTCTAGATGGACTTTGCAAGCCACCAATATGAATGGGAACTTTGTAAGTTTGATGATAAACCAACTATTAGTATATTTTAATTATCTAATTTGTTTACAATGTGTTCATGTTTTAATAACGTATTTGTGTCTGCAGGGGCTACTTGTTATACAGCCTGATCAGATGCAGGTGAGTTCAAATAATTGTATCATGTTAGCGTGGACCGACAGATGTACTGCGCTTTATTTGAGAAAATTCTCACTGTGCGATTTATGTTTTTGAAGACTGTAAACCCCATCCTGATCCTGACACTGGTGCCTATCATGGACAGCTTAGTCTACCCTCTGATCAAAAAGTGTGGCCTGAACTTTACGTAAGTACTGCTGGAACTCAGTGAGTCAGCGTTGGGGCTTAATACCTGGCCTTGGTCCCTTGGCCCCTTATTTGGTTATTAAATAACTTACAAAACCTACAATCTGCTCGATGTAGCTTTATACTTAGCGTCTGGCTTTGAGATTGGTATCGATCATTTCCATCCAACTCTCGGCACAATAGCAAATTAGGCGGATTTCTCAAAATGTCAAACTATTCCTTTAGCTGCTCAACAGTGGAACATAATGCTGTGAGTGAACAAGCAGCATTGTCAGAGTGTTCAACTACAAAAGCTGATGTGTTTTTTCAAAACTAAATTTTGTAGCGAAAAGGCTGATTATTTATACAAGACCAGTGTAATTTTACACAGTCTGATCAGGCCCATATTTTGATGTTGTTGATGTCAAAAATGCTGATATTACAGTCATAAATAATTTTTAAAGATAGACATTTGGTGATGTAATTCTCTCACATTTTGTAAAAACCAGTAACAGGATTTAATGTTACTTCAACAGACCTCTGAAAAGAATGACAGTGGGGATGATGATGGCAGCTATAGCTTTTGTCTGCGCTGCTTTGGTTCAGATTGAAATTGATGTAAGTAACGATTGTGTTCATCTCCTCATACACTGTAGAATGCACATTTTACAGTTCAGGGAATAATTTATTTTAAAACTCACTGAAATTTCAGAAAACATTACCCACCTTCCCATCAGCCTCTCAGAGTCAGTTGAAATTACTTAACATGGGCAGTAACCCAGTGACGGTTGAGCTGCCTGGCATCGATCCTCTTGTACTTCCTGCAGCTCAGGTATGTCCTTATACAATAACAAAAAACTTCTACAATTTTGAGATTCATGCAAGTTTTAAATTCTGTTGCATGCAAGCCAAAACACCACTGTCTATGTGCACACATTCCTAGCCCAATGATCGCACAGTTTTACATTTTTTTTTTGCAGGCCAGTGATGAATTCTTCACATTTGACGCAGAAAGTATCAGCATGTTAATAGGCAGCCCTCCAGTGGTGAAAAATATTTCCTTAGCTAAAGGAAAGCGAAAAACGCTTCTCATGACCTCAAACATCACTGACAACTGGATGTTGGTGAGTTAGAAGCACAAAATAATATCAATGAAGACACACAAGAGGCCATTTAAGTTCAATTAATCAACATTTGTCGTTTCCTCAGACGAATGATGTGATTTCCAAGCCACAAGAAGGCAACAATGCAGTCCGGTAAGTTGATACAAATGTTTAAACTGCTAACAAATATGCAATTAATTGATTAATTGACCAACTGAAAATTAATCATTGCCGTTTTTAGTCTCTTATCAGGTAAAAATCACACAGTTGTAACCCCAATCTTTGTCTGCAGATTAACTGGTTGAAAATAAAGGGATTCCATACATTGGTTTTACTGACTGTTTTTACATTTTCTGGCTGAATATGTTCCCATTTCAGATTCATAAATGGAATGAATACAGCAGTGAATGTGTCAACTCCTGCAGCTGCCTTTGGAGTAATTGAGTCATTTGATTATTCCAACTACTCCCAAATAAGTAATGGAAAGTAAGGATTTTTCATCTTGACAGAAATCAATACTGTTTTTCTATACTAGAATCATTATTTCATGCAAACACTAATTTTTCTTTTCTAATGATCAGGTCCATCTTCACCATACAGAATGGGTCACAGTCATGTGAATACAGCAGGGACTTTGGATTTGGAAGTTCATATACCTTCTTTATACCCAGCACTTTGGTCATTGGACCTAATGTAAGTTTCTTAAAGCTCTTTTTGGAAAATATTAAGCCTTTATAATGTAATTGAAACTACATTTTTGTGACCTGTTTTTAAAGATTTGCTTCTTAAGAAGGCAGGGATGGGCTTGGGGCTAAGTGTCACAGACATGGTCGGGAGGTTTGGATTAATGCATTTTTGGTTTTGGTCTTTTCATGGGAATTTCATGATTATATGAAAAATACAGAATGAGCTAGCCTATATACACATGCTCATTTTTATGCTCAAAATCAAAATCCATCCAGCTACCTTCTTTTCAGTCACACACGTTGAGAAACACCATCCTAAAGTGAACTATTGTGATTATTTGTTTCAGTGTCAGGAGTCTGTTACTGTGACAGAAGACATCAAGCCCAACACAGTACACATGGCTCTCCAGATCCCGCAGTACTTCTTCATAACTGTTGGTGAAGTGATGTTTTCTGTTACTGGTCTGGAGTTCTCCTACTCACAGGTAAAATTGTATACACATTTTCACACCTCATCTCAGTGATGCACAATCAAAGAAGTTGCAGGACACAGAAAATGAGAATATTTGATTCTGTTAGTCTTTGATAATAGTTCTGTTTTCTTTGTTTTGGGCTAAATTCATCTTGTGTACTTCTTTTGTGTCTTCAAGGCACCTAGTAACATGAAAGCGGTGCTGCAAGCAGGCTGGTTGTTTACTGTTGCTGTGGGTAACTTCATTGTTCTGATCGTGGCTGAGGTTGCAAAGCTTCCCAAACAGGTAAAAAAGAAAAGAAAAGACTAATTAAACTCAAAACGAAACCTCAGTGACTCAAAGTGACACCATACCTCGAGTGGACGTGTCTGACATGTTTTTGTGTGACAGTGACCATTAATACCACGTTTGTCTTTCTCCTTCTCTTTCAAAGTGGGCAGAATACATCCTATTTGCCTCTCTCTTGGTTGTAGTGTGTTTTATCTTCTCCATCATGGCGCATTACTACACCTACATCGACCCTGCAGAAATTGAGGCCCAGTTCACTAAGAAGGTTAATGAAGATGATGATGAGGAGGATGATAAGTGCAAGCTACAGAAGGCGCAGCTCGAGATGGTCAAGAAAGACTCCATTAAAAGTCACGAAGATGAAGATGATACAGGCAAACAGACCAATATGTGAACATTTATATCTGATGTCCACACGAGGTAGAATATACTTTCATGCTGCCAGTGTTGTGTTGTGTTGTGTATGTGTGTGTGTGTGTGTGTGTGTGTGAGTGTTTTAAATATTTTGTATTATAATGCCCAAATGACTGGTGAGCAAGGCACACAAAGTTCCCTATTCAGTACAACAAATTCATAGAATGTTATCTGTAGTACTAAAACGACAAAGACTGATGAACCATTTATATATCGTTGGATTTAATTGCTCTTTTGTATTTATGTGCAAGTTATGTTCAAGCACACAATAAAAATAATTATGTTAGTGTTTTTTCCCACTCACAATTCTTGTCTTGAGATATTTTGCCCAAAATCGATGAGCATGTCATTGTTATATATAGCACTCTACCAAACTGATATCAAATCTCCAAAATATACTTGACTGATGTCAGGCCACCAACTGAGCTGTGAGCTCTTAAACTGGTAAAAAAAAAAAAAAAAGTGGTTTTCATGAGTGTGAAAGTTCTACACTGCAAAAATGAAAATCTAAGTAAGATGAAACATCTTAAATCAAGGCAATATTATGCTTGTTTTTTGTCTGACAAGATATTTCTTTTTATGTTCGAGCATTTCACTTGTTTCAAGCGTTTCAGTCCTTAATTATCTTAATAAGGAATTATGACTTGTTACTGAGATTTTATTACTGGTTCTGAGCAAGTTAATGCTTGAAACTAGAATTGCCATAATTATAAGGCTGTTTGATCATCACTGATGAGTCCAAAACTGCTTTGTCAAAGTCAGAATTTCTTATTTCAAGCATCCTAACCTTTTCATCAACGACCAAATGGAATTCATTGTTTTATTGTCAATCTTACAACACAGCACAGCAGTTATGTATTCCTAGAGACAAAATACAGTACAGAGCAAAGACAGCACTTAACAAAGTCAAACTGTTTAAGAACAAACTTTCTCCTCGGCCTGTCTCGTCCTTTAGCAAGCTAAAGTGAGTGAGCATTGTGCTAACATCTCATTTGGAATATAAAGGTTGCCATTACATTCATCTGGCCAAGATGTGGTTGTGAACATAAGCAGAAATGCCATGTGATAATTCTGTACATCTAAATGGACTCTTAATACATTTGATCTAACAGACATTTAAAACAACCTCCAATAAACGCAGCCAGTACTATACCAAGATTCAGATGATTTACTGTATTTAGTAGCTATCTTTATAATTACGTATTTTCACAGCCGTATACTTCAATAGTTTAACTACAAAGATAGTTAGGGTTAACCCTAACCCTTTTATTTTTAGATGGAGCCATTATTTTACTTGAAATGAGAAAACATGTATTTATGTATTTCTATGTATTATTTATAATCCATCCAGTTAAATTGGAAAACTGCGAATAATAATTGTTGAATTATAATTGATGTGTACTTTCTTTATTTGATTTGACAGTTGTTGACTACACAGAGACGTTGTCACTATATATATGGCACTAAATAGCGCAAATTAGATATTGCCTCAGAGCTGTCCAGGTGTCTTCTGTGGAGTTGTTGAAAACAGTAGGGGCAGGTTCAATTCAATTCAATTTATTTTTGTATAGACCAAAATCACGAATCACAAATTTGCCTCAGAGGGCTTTACAATCTGTACACATACGACATCCTCTGTCCCAGGACCCTCGCATCGGAACAGGAAAAACTCCCCCAAAAACCCCTTTAACGGGGAGAAAAGAGGAAGAGACCTGTGGGAGAGCAACAGAGGAGGGATCCCTCTCCCAGGATGGACAGAAGTGCAATAGATGTCATGTGTACAGAATGAACAACATTTACAGAGTTACAACACATTCAATGCATATGACAGAATCACGGCAGGAGGCAAGACCAGGGTCCAGGTATCACCAGGATCCATGGAAACCTGCGAAGTGGGAAAGCACAGAGACTCCGGTGAAGGAGCAAAGTCAGCAATGTGCGTTAATGGTATTGGTACCTGCGATGTGAGAAAGCATAAAGAGTGAGTGAATGACAGCATAAAAACACTGTCCTAATGTAGGAGGTTAGAGTAAATCCCAACATTTTACATAGTTAGTTCATTATTTTACAATTGTATGATTATAAATACTATATTTCAAAATATCCCTCCTATAAGCAAAGCTCTCGAAGTTTCACTGTACTTATATGTAGAGGTCACACAAACGGGATTTTCCAAAACAATAAATCGACTTTTCAAAGTGGTCTTTAAGTTTGTCTTTTTATTTATATAATATGTTATTATTATAATTGGGGATATAGGATTGGGCATATTTTAGGTCTTGGATGTCATATTTATCTGAACATTTATATAAATAAATATATGTGAAGATAGCGTCATTTCTAAACCATACAACCGTAAATTTAAGAAATGTAAAAACTGAACCAACAGTCCAAACATCACAGCTACATAAATAGGCTACACACGGAGGAAAAGCAACACTGCAAGTTTCCATCAGTGACAACTGTGCTTTTCTTTTAATACGTTTTGTGACGCTTCACAATCGTTAATCGATGGACACATTCAGTGCTTTGAAAATGTTGACATCAAGTTGGATGTAGGCTTTCTCAATAACTATCTTAATTTACAGATGCTAAATAAATAACCTTACATATTATTATTGTTATTACTATTATTATCGGCCACATCACTGCACAAAATGAGACTAATAGCCAACAATCTAGCGTTAAGTATTACAATTACACGGAAAATTAGGATTTTAGTTATATTTATACTATATTTATCCCGTTAAGGGGGAAATTCGTCTCTGACCCATCCCTGTATACAAGGGGCAGTGGGCTGCCTATGACGGGCGCCACATGACCCGTCTCTTTTCTTGCGGTCACCAGACAACCCTCTTAACCCAGTGAGCCACGGTCGCCCACCTCTTCTACCCATCATGCCCTGGGGTCAGTCGGTGGAGAACAATTCTGCAGCGCCTCAGCCTGGCTCTAAAATGTACGCACGTTTTCATGGCGTCAGAGCAAGTCGGACGCAAATCTACCCAGCATGCATTGTGGTCGCCGGTGATCGATTCTGTGCACGCCTGGCTTATGTCGAACGAGCCTAATGACGACACATGCACCGTCGCCTCTCCCTCGCTCTGATTGGTCCTCCGGAAAATGAAAATGACATTAACCAAGATGGCGCTGGGCGACCGAGAAAAGTGATGAGAGAATAGAACAACAAGCGATACAACTAAATAACAGTGCGCATTTATTTACTCTGCGCGACACTTTTCAGACCAGACGTCTATCTTATCATCGGGGGACTGCAAAGCACGCGCTGAGAGTCCGCGCTGGTCTACAGAGATCTAATTATTCAACTGTTTGCTAGCTGCTAAAGTAGCTAACGCTCGCTAACTGCGGAAGGAGGGTGAGGAGAGTGAGGCAGGCAGCTCGAAGTACGAGCCGACAAGTCGAGCTCACCTCTCTGTTTTACACGTCAACTCACCTAAGTTATCCTTTGAGTTCGTGGGACGGACCGGGTCATCCCAACCAGAATCTAACGTTACACCTCTGACAAGGGAGGCAAAAAAAGGACGAGGAAAGGAGGAAAGGCGTCATCTTTGCTGATCTGACGCCATGGCTCTTTCACCTATTATTCAAAGTGGACTGCCGGGGGTTCAGGTAAAACACATATATATATTGTTACATTTCTAACTTTCAGAGGCACGCTTATTTGGTTAAGAGCCACCCGACATTTTACGTTTCCTCTGAAGTTGAGCTCGATGCCTGTAAATAACTTTATCTACAGGAACACTGCGTCATTATCTCGATCAACACTTAACGTTATCGCCTTTGCTGTGCAATGATTAATGCACCTATTTGTCAACTCTAAAGTGCACTGAATGACTAACGCACCGTTAAACCATAATTTATTCTGCTCGAGTTTACTCCTAATTTATGAACAACATTCAACTTGCAATTTAGTCCACGTCCACTGTTGTTATTGTGACCAACAGAGAAGTAATGTAATGTCAATGAAAGACAAGGAAGACACCAACTGATGATTACCTTCGTTTTCCATTAATCTGTCAATTCTGTAAGTCTACAAAATGTCAGAAGAAAAAGAGCAACCACCATCAGAATTGTCCTAAACATAACCCAGGGTGATCTAGGTCTATAACCAGCCATCATTTAACAACCTAAAGATCTTTAGGTTACATTGATATGAAGTCTGTAGTGAGAAGATGGAACCAGAGAATCTTTGGACATTTTGCACAATAGATTTATTAAATGATTAATTAATAGTTGCCATTTAATAACCTATTGATCCACTAATTGATTAAGTGACTAATAAATGCACGAATGAAGATATTAATTTTACAGTCACAATAAAATACTTGCTTATTAATATTCTGTAGCTTGACTTTATAGTAGTTTAAGATTTATTGTCCTTGTGGCATAGTTTTATTTTTATGGGCCACCAATGGCATAGTAGCTCGAATATGTTTTTTGAATAGTCTTTTGTTCAACTTTATTTTAGTTGAACCGGCCACTAGCTGCCAGTCAGGACACGTCCCGTTTGAAGATCACACTACAGCCTCTACAGACTGTGTAATCATAACGATCTCAAGGAGTGACCTAAATACTACTTCTCTTAAATTATGAACACAGATATGCACAGACATTACGCAGGTTCACGTGGTAAAAAACGGACCTGAGTCCACAGGTTAGTATCCAGAGAAGACTTGGCACTTGGGATGCTGGAGGTGAGCCTTGAACCCTGAGGCTGTGATGCGTGGAGGCGTGTGGTGCCGATAGGAGAGCATCAAACCCGCTTTTAGAGCGAGGTTCAGGCCGTTGTAGTTGTCGCAGTAAACCTGCTGACTGTGTATATGGCAAGTACATTCCCATCATGTGTAGTCTGTGGCCGCAGCTTCATTGTTCTTTTCCCCCATTGTTTTTACAGCGGTCCGCCTCGACGTTATGATTTTCACCTGGATGACTGACCACACCGGTGTTGTGATAGTATTTTGGTTGTGTTGTTTCTACTCTGCTTTATTCTGCACCGCTCTGCAGTCTTTGTTCTAAAGTCCCTTTGCTATCAAATTCAGCAGCCACCTCTTTGCCAATTTTTCAAAGTGCAGCTGCTCATCTCCCCTTCCACATAGGTTGACCACCGTGCATTAGCACGTTTACAGGAAACTGTTCTCTGGGGGTGGGGGGGACTGTGAGGCAATCTGCTCTCTGAGCCAAACAGTAGGGCTGAAAAATAACGAGCATATTATTTTGACTGGTGTTACAATTGCAATATCAGAGGGTATAATCATTTTTACATCATTATTTGTTGAAAAGACATATTAATAAGGAGGCCATATTGTGATTTTTAATATATGTATCCTTATGGCTGAGTTACCTGGTTCATTAAGCATTAGGCTTAAATGCTTTAGTTTGTTCATTTTAAAGCTTCTGCAAAAATATTTGTTTCATTTGAATTGTTCAGATAATCTTAATAATATATAGAGTGATGCTTTAACAAAAGAAATGAAGCTTTTTTTCAGGATAGACTTATTTTTGTGTAATATTTGACTATGAGATGATGGCACTGCAAACACTACTCAGACTGTTTAGACTCATGATTGCTGTGCGTGAAGGGAAACTGAACCGGCCAACTTGCAGACCATTATTTCCTCTCTGGTGCTCCATCCGGGAATGAGCCATTTAGTTCATTCAGTGAGTTCGCGTGTAGTGCTGCAGTTTCTGCTTGTGATGGAGGTCATTAAGCCTCAGTCTGTGTTACCATGTGGTCTCATGATTGAAGTGTTACCCACAGCCTCAGGGTAAAAAAAAAAAATGGTGACATGCAACGGTTAAGGTCCGGCTGAATATAAACATCATTTCTATATTTCACACTTTGCTTGAGTTAAATTACCCAAAAAATTAACAGAATTATGCGTTTGGGTGATTTCTCTCGATTAAATCGATCAACAGAAAATGTAACAGTTTCTATTTTGATAATTGATTTAATATGAAAGCAAACTGAGTATTGTTGGGTTTGAAACTGTTGGTCGGACCCAACAAGACATTTTTAGATGGAAACCGTGATGGGCAATATTCACTATTTTTGGACATCATAGACGAAACAATTAACCACACAAATTGTCTGCAGATTGATCTGTAATCGAAGCAGTTGTCAGATGCAGCCCTAGTGGTGAGGCTCAGGGTGCACGATTCATTTAATCTGTTTTTAGATTGCAGTGTATTAAAATCACAGGCTGAAAGTTCCCTGATTGCTGGCTCTTTAATTGCTAACTTGAGTATAGTGTATCCCAGAAACATGATGGGAGACACTAAGCCATGTTGCTTGTCAGACGTTACTTATGTTTTCTCTCTCTCTCTCTCCCCCCGTCCTTCTCTCCGTCACACAGAATTTCCGAGCGGATCCAGAAGAGTTTTTCACCAAGCTGGACAGGATAGGGAAAGGCTCTTTCGGCGAAGTTTTCAAAGGCATCGACAGTCGGACACAGAAAGTCGTGGCCATTAAAACTATCGATCTGGAAGAAGCGGAGGACGACATAGAAGACATTCAACAGGAAATCACAGTCCTCAGCCAGTGTGACAGTCCCTTTATCACCAAGTATTATGGCTCATACCTAAAGGTGAGGAAGAAAATCATCGTCAATCTGTTCCAGCTCCTGCTCGACATAATGCGTGTGTGTCAGTAGTGTATTCCTGCAAGCGTGCGTGCGCAATGTAGGTCATTAAATAATGCATACTGGCAATGGAACAAGTATTGCCTTTTTAATATTGCACAGATTGAAGGACTCAAAGTAGGCCGACGCTGCTGTATGTAGCTCGAGGACTTTTCAGAGTGCAGTCTGTAAGTATTTGGATATTGACGTATGTTTTACTCTTTCTGCTTTGTACTCCAGCAGATTCTGGCCTTTTTAAACATCCTATATAACATTTCTATAGTGATAGTAGAATTTCAGTCACGCCACATGTGATGGTGCTTAGAGTGCCTCTCACAGCATTTACTGTGGTACCTAACAGCAGTCAGGAGAGAAGTGGTGGTCCATTAGCTTAAGTTGTGTTGCTGGCTGAAGGAGAGAATTAAGGCTCATTAGTGTGTGTGTGTGTGTGTGTGTGTGTGTGTGTGTGTGTGTGTGTGTGTGTGTGTGTGTGTGTGTGTGTGTGTGGTGTGTGTGTGTGTGTGTGTGTGTGTGGTGTGTGTGTGTGTCCGCGCACTTACGTTTGTGTGTAACAACTCATAATGCAATAACTGCTCATAATGTAATAATTCAAACTTAATGTAATAATAAGCACATGATAAAAGCAAACCATGTGAACACAACGTATAAACGGTTTTCTGTTATTACATTATAGACTAAACAGAAAATGTTGAATAATGTAATAAATTCAGCTCATAGTGTTCTAAGTAACAAAAGGAGTACTCTCGGTACATTTACTGTGGACACGGTGAGTATGAACCGTTACTCTGTTTGTAATAACTACGATAACTTTGTACACCGTCTGACTGAATTCATGATTTATTTTCCAGGGTACGAAGTTATGGATTATCATGGAATATTTGGGTGGAGGATCAGCCCTGGATTTGGTAAGTATGTTAAAATACAGAAAGTGACCCTGCCATATGATAAACAATATGATTTTCAGGACATTATGACATTTATCTGATGTGTAAAATCTGTTCAAACTTCAGCCCAAAGTCACTTTCTCCTCTAACGCGTCCGCTCTTCTAGTTGGAACCAGGTGCTCTGGATGAAACACAGATTGCCACAATTCTCCGAGAGATCCTGAAGGGGCTCGAGTATCTGCACTCTGAGAAGAAAATCCACCGAGACATCAAAGGTAAGCCTTGAACAATCGTAGGACTAAAGTGGTTGAGACAAATGGCATCGTTTGTATCTTTTTAAGCACTGAACGTTCATATCTTTGTCCTCTTTGCTTTCAGCTGCCAATGTGTTGCTGTCAGAACAAGGCGAGGTGAAGCTGGCAGACTTTGGAGTGGCGGGCCAGCTGACGGACACCCAGATAAAGAGGAACACGTTCGTTGGTACTCCTTTCTGGATGGCCCCTGAAGTCATAAAGCAATCTGCCTACGATTCAAAGGTCAGACTCATTCCAGCTTCTATTGTTCTCACGGTGAAGTGTGATGTTAGAAAGAAGAATCCCAAAGAAAAACAAAGATGTGTGTGAAATCATTCCCAAATGATTTGTACATTTTGTCTTTGTTTTCATCGCTCTCTTGACCTCTGTGTTCAAGTTGTTGAGCACTTTTTTAAGACCGGTTTGCTAGACTATAAATGACCGAATACATATTTTTGGAATAACCACAACTATGAGTCAGCGCTTCAGTTTACAGGGGTTCCGCAAATACACCCATGCTGCTTAAGTCAGCCAGTTTAAATGTCATGTGTCTGTGTGGACGAATGTGAGATTCTGCTGCTTTATTCGATGATCTTTTCTCTCCCAAATGTTTTCTTTTGTATTATTTTTTTGCAGGCAGACATCTGGTCATTAGGAATAACGGCAATAGAACTGGCTAAAGGAGAGCCGCCGCACTCTGAACTTCATCCTATGAAGGTGTTATTCCTCATCCCAAAGAACAACCCACCGACACTGGAAGGAAGCTACAGTAAACCACTCAAAGAGTTTATTGAAGCCTGTTTAAATAAGGAGCCTAGCTTTGTAAGTTTTAAGGACAGTTGTTCACACCGTTATGAGTAATGAGGCCAGAGTATTCTTTTAATATTGACCGGTAAGTTTGTTTTCTGTGTTTTCCTTTAGAGGCCAACTGCCAAAGAGCTGTTAAAACACAAGTATATTGTACGGCATGCCAAAAAGACGTCCTATCTGACGGAGCTGATCGACAGATACAAGAGGTGGAAATCCGAGCAGTCTCGGGAGCAATCCAGCTCCGATGAGTCTGATGAGTAAGTTGTCTGGAACATAACAATCCATCCGGCAAGACGTCCCAACTTTACACTCCGAAGCAAAAATCTAGCAACTCTTGAGTACACTGATGATCCTAAACATCCTGTGTCACCGCAGGGAGTCAAACGGCCAGGCCTCTGGAGGAGACGACGCTGGCAGCGATGACTGGATCTTCAACACCATCAGGGAGAAGGACCTCAAGAAGTTTCAGAATGGCGCAGCACAGCCAGCAGAGCTTGAAAGGGAACAGGTGAGACCACACGCCATTGTAGAGAAAAGAAGTAGTGAAGCAGTAGTAGAGCCTCTTGTTGTGTCTGCGGTCTCTTAGATTTCCCCTTTTGACATTTAAATCATTTTTGTTTCCTGGTGCAGGAGAGTCCAAAGAGGCCTTTGTCACAAAGCTTATCAACAATCTTTTCTCCGCTGTTTACTGAGGTAATGGCACTAATGTTATTATCATTACTGAATGCATGATTTCAAGTAAAACTGTTTACAATCATCAATGCTCATCACAAAGAAAGAAATGCACCGTACGGTCAGATGTATTTTGTCAGAGACCGAGAAAGTCCACATTCTATTGGTATCTAAAATGTGTCATTTTTTCGCAGTTGAAAGAAAAGGGCGAGACGCGTAATGGCAAGCCGGAGGCTGTGGAGGCGCTGCGGGAGGCCATTTTCCTGGCAGAAGAAACCCACCCAGGGATCTGTGACTCCCTGGTAGCTGAGCTAGTGCAGAGACTTCAGAGGTAATCAGGGTTCATGTTATCTCAAGACCTTTTTAGGCTTGTTTTAACCCGAGTCCTGTTCAGTTCCCTCTCTAGATATTAACCCTTTTCTCTGGTGTTTGTCAGGTTTTCTGTGCCACAGGCTACTGCCAGTCATTGAGAGGCGCCACATCCAGCTTTGCTCTAATTTCCCACCCTGGTGGCAGCAGTCAGATCTTTTCCTCTGACCTCCACAGCCCGGGATGAAGTCTCCCAGGAAGGTCTCCATCACTCATTAGCCTGAAGCAAAATCCTGGCCTATATAATGTCTGTTCATACGCTAGCACACCACCTGAGGGTCCTGTTCAGGACAGTCGGTGTTCAGCCGCTCGGCTGCAACCACGACTGCCACCTGCTGTATTAACGTCCCTTCTCAATACCTCCTTCACAGCTGTTTTTTTTTATTTTGACGGTGGAGTCTGCTGTCTTTCTGCGAGGACTCTTTGAGTTATTGATTTTGATGAGCGTAGGTTTACACTCGGCATCCTTTTTGGAGGAAACACCTTTGCTTAATTAACTGTGTGCATGCGCGCGCGCGTGCGGCTGCGCGAGATATCCTGTGAAGCGTGCGGTGACGTGACGAGTGGGTTGAAGCATTCTATTGAAAACTCAGGTATCCTGCTTTAAGTGGATCGGGTTCTCTGGGAGACGGACAGAGCTCTATAGGGTGGCTGTACAGACTTGTAAATATGCTCATTTCTACAGATTCACGAAAAAAAACAACATTGAAGTGTTTGTAATGGAACCACTGTGTACAAACGGCCAAATGCAATCTGTAGATAATGGTTGTGAGGTAAATATTTTGCGAGACTAAAATGGCCATACATGAGATTGCCTTGCCTTTCTACTTGTTCTTTTGTATATCGGTCTTTTGATTTATTCCAGTTGTTAAACCTTCTAAGTACTCATCCAGTGAATGAGAAATGACTGCCCTCTATCATGTTTTACTCTTGATTTATTATACATTTCTTAATACACACTCTGCTGTGGCTGTAATAATGTTGCAGAATGTAAAAAATAAAACAAAAGGCTGGATCGATGAAGCCCCACCAGTTTTAAACTGCTCTGACGCCAGCTCCCGCTCCACAAGGCCTCCGCTTGTGTTGGTTTGTTGGACTCACCCCGTCGTCGTCTTCTTCTTCTCTTTTTTTTTTTTTTTTTGCGGTGTGTTTTTGACTGGTCAGATGAACCGAGGGTTCGTCCATTCATTCCATTAACAGGGCAGCGCTGTCATCTAGTTTAGGAATCAGCAGACTCCGTTAGTCTTCCTTTGGAGCTGCAGCGGTACTATCCATCTCCTCAGCTTACCCACAGCTTTAATTGCACTTCAAGTATAAATGCCTTTTTGTCTATAAACAAAGTAGCCATAACACAGTAGCACGAGACTTACAGCATTTTGCAGGTATGCTATCTGGGAGAACAACAAAAAAAAAAAGTCCACCTGAAGTCTCTCAGCTCGGACTCTGGAGTCGGCCATGCAGTGTTAATATTTGCGCAGCTGAATCTTTCCACTTTGGGACTTGTGAGACGTTTTCACTTGTACAGTAAAGACAAAGACTTGTCTCGTAGTAGAGGACACTGCTCTCAGATGTTAACATGAAGCCACAAGGTGTTCACTGCTACTACTTGTGACTGCGGTTAAAGAGGAATGTGCATGGTAGTGTAACAGTATAAAGCCCGTTGGTTGGCCTGAGCGGTATGTGTTGTAGCATACTGTAGCAGGACTGGACAGAGTTGAGTCAGCCTTAGAGTATTTGTGATGAATGGGATGAACAGTATCTGCTTTACTATGTTAGATCCGATGCTTCTGTTGTGATTTCTTCTCTTTTTTTGTTTTCCTGTGGCATTAAAATGCATATGCAGCAATACTTTTAAAAGACAAACGATAAAAGATCAAACATATTTATTTCATTCCTTGTCAGTATGATGCATGTATGAACAAATGGACTTATTTTCCTTCTTCTCAGACGAGAGGGCTTTTTATGATTCTTATGGAGTCACACGGGCGACATATGGTACACGGTACACAAGTTGAAGCGACAGTGCTGAAAAACACGATTTACTCACTTTCTCGGGGAGAGTTCGATTAGAAGATCAATCTGCTGTGATATTTGTCTGTTAAATATGCGGCTACGCTGGTTAGCTTAGCACAAACACTGCCTCTGTCCAGAGGTAACAAAATGTGCTCACCAACTAACACTTCATAGTGGTGAGTTTCACTTGTACAGTATCTTACAGGAGGCTTCTTGGCTCGGACCAGTCAAGTCAATTTAATATGCTGTGCAAAGTATCAAGTGATAATGAGATAAAAAAATAAAGGGGTACAATTCATTAAATCAAGAACAAAAGGGTACCTAGCTTAGCATTAAAAAAAAATGCACGTTTCACTACTTGCTGTTGCTTCATTTTATTCAGTGAAAGTGAGAAAGCGGTATTCATCCTCTTCTTTAACTCTCCGCAGGAAAGCGAACAAACATATTTCCCATATTCTCAAATGTGTTCTTGCTTTGCTTTTATCATTTAAACAGAACATTCTCTCCAAAGACTTTCTTTTCTTTTCTGCTCGCTAATTGCGGCGAAGTACAAAGTTTAATGCGTTAAAGTGGAGTACGTTGTTCGAAGTAGAACCCGGTTAACCGAAATCAAGAAAAGGTGCCCGACTCAATGTCACGGTTGTGTTTTCTGCTCTTCTGAGAAACATTACTCTTCATTGTAACTTGTGAGACGTGCCATGCCCCTCCATCCCAAACTGAGACAAATTCAATACATTTGCACCTTCGACATGGTCTGTGATGACTATTTCTTTTTATGTGTTGCACTTTGCAGATTTATTTAGTTATTTTCTTTTTTAAATGGTAGTTTAAAAGGCTGCAATGTTAATGTCGCAATTACACCCCTTTTATTTCCTTCCCTTTGTGTTGTATGGCAATAAAGCAGTGTGATCGCCAAGAGTCAATCCTTAGCACAAGTAGGCATATATTCTATGAAACTATTTTTATAACCCAAAAGAGCAGTATTATGTCATAGAGGGAGTAAAGTTTGGTTCTGTGATGTGTAAACGTTTCAGTAAACACTGGATAGCAATCACTTGAAATGTGCGTTTCATTTTGTGTGACTTTGCTGATGGTTCATAGTCCAGTATACATACATGTTTGCTAATTCAGGACAGTGCTGTGGGATTTATTGAAAGTTGTCAAATGATTTTAAGGAAAAAAAATAAAAAAATCCAGTACAATTTGATGAATGGTTTTTACTTATTTGAAATGTGCTTTCCTGCAACAACGTTTTAGATTTTCTGTGATTCAGAACCGTTTTCTGTGCATCCATCAACCTGAAGGGCCTCTAGTTCTAAACATCACCCGTCTTGGATGCTGTACCGTATAACAGTCTTAGTTTCAATTCACTTGAGCACAGTAGTCTGTGATAATGGTAGGTTCTTAAAATGCACACGTTTATTAAAAATCAAGAGATTAATTATATGAATTACTGAGTAAAGTGTTCGACCTTTTCAATTGCTGTCAAGTCTGTGACTATGGATTAATAACTTGAACTCAGAAGTATTGACTTTTAGGCAGCAATGCTCCAAAATGTGAAAACAAATGTAAAAGCTCAGTGCAGCTAAAATGTAAAAGGACTGCGTCATCATTTTGTAGTAGGGTTATATTTAGACATTGTATGTGAGCAGTAAAGTATTATTGGAGTCTTCTTTTCTTAGTTGGATGAAATGTGTGGTACTAAAGCCGTGATAGCTGGAATTTTAACAGCAACTTAAGACATAAATTGTGAACCACTTCTGAATAAGCTGCTTAATATTGAAATTAGCTTTTTTTTTTACTTTGAAAACTATTTATCTGAATTATTTTTTTTTTTTTGGTCACGCAATTGTAGACGTTTCGATGTCCATTTGTGCTGCGCACTTTAAGGACTTCTCCTTCCTGTTGGCTTAGAAGCTGACATCTAAAATTCCGTGACATCTACACTAACCGTCTCCAGCTGCGGATGAATTCCATGCAATGTGATAGAAAGCTGTACAACAGCTACTAAATGGACCTTTTAAGATGGTTTGTGACCCCAATATGACCAGTTCAAATTGGGCTACTTGAATACAATTTGATCATTCGAAAACAATTTTCCATCTTAATTTGTGAATTTAAATCATACGAATCCGCTGAGAAAGACCATGTGATGTGGTCAAAAGCTCCAGAACAGCTATTGAGTGGACTGTGTGGTGAAATGTATCAATTGATTATTTCCATGCGCATGGAAAGTCCTCTGTGGCAGTGTGCATGTTACTACACCTCATCACGTTTAGTGGAAATGATTTCAAATGGCCCAGTAAAAAAAATAAATAAACTGTCAGTAAATACCTCACAGCAAGTTTTATTTATACATCCAAAAACAAAAGATCATATTTCTCACACTATATACAGATATTACATACAGTGTTTTTACACATATTACATAATTTGTACACAAGAAAAATATACATAAAAATGTAAACCTTTGTATACAAAAAATACCTTAGACAAATTAAACAAGGACCAATAACAAAAGGTGACTAGATTAGCTCATCCTATCTTTAAAAACAGTAATACAGTACATTCATATGAGTATAGGAATTTGTCAGCCATCTCTGAATTCAAGCAGTTAAATGTGCCAACAGTACGAGCCCTGTTCATTTTTGTTCTACGTGGTTTTGGGGGTAAACTGGTGCAGTGACTAATCTCATGCTATGTGGATACAGCAGCCTTGCAAACTTTTTTTTCAGTTTTTCGGGGGGCACTGTGTTTATGACCATTAGTTACAACACAGCGGTCACCGAGAAGCCCCAGTCGTCTCTGGTGGAGCTACGGGTTTACACTTCACTGCGTGTTTTCTCTTTGGAAGGGAGAGACAGAACTGGGCCTTCTCACAGCTGGAAATGTGGGGGTCTGGTGCAGGCTCAGAGCTGGTAATGATGGCAGCTGTTCATTTAATGAGCATCCAAGCAAAAGAGGAGAAGAAGAAGAAAAAAGGCAAGACAGACACTGGACTAGTGAAACACCACCGGCCTCATCCACTCCTGTGCAAAGCTATGTTGAAAACAACATGGGTGTAATGATCCGTTTTTCTCCACAAAATGAGATTAAATGGCGATGCATATATTCCTATGTTTCATACCACCGAGAATCAAGCCAGTGATCGTAATCTAATATAACGCTCTCACACAAAAGGTTGCTGCCCCATGCAAATCTCAAGATTTCCACCTGGAGTTTAATAGCTATCAAAAATACTCCCCATCAGAATGTGATTTAAAAACTAAGATGATAGCAACATTGATCCCTCCAAAACGTACCACCATTTTGATAGCCATTAACAGACGAGAGACTCATTCTACAAGACACAGGTTCCACTGAATACATTGCAAATAACAATTTAAATCCATTGCTACTCAATAATTCACCAACATAGCCCAAGATAGAGACTTGCTACTATATACCTAATACTCAATGTCTGACAATCCGTCAAATGTCTAATATAATATCAATCAGAAGCCGTGGTTGTACTGCTGTATGAGTTGGTAACAAGGGGGAGGAGCTAT